CAATACGTCCATCCCCCCCCCCACTAACCTTAGGTACATGCAGCCGTGGATCTTTTACACTGATAGGAGGTAAATAGGGAACATCACAATCAATACATAGACGGGTACACTTTTTTCGTTTGTTGCCGAAAAGTTTGTTGGCAAAATATAACCCCCTGTACCTTGCCTTAACGCTCTTTTTTAAAGCCCCAGCTCCTGGTGAGACAGCGGAAAAACCCCCACCCTCACGACGGCCCGAACCTATAAACCCCCCATAGTGCGTTTCCCCCCCCCCCCCCCTTCGGGCCTGCTACCTGCCAGGATCTTTACAACATTAATTGGGTCGGAATTGCGTTCACGAACATGTCGTTGACTTATCCAGTTACGTGGATAACATACGACTTTTGCTCAAAGGCTTGTTGTGATAATGAGTCACTGCCAACCGTATTCTGACAATGACATTTCGAATGCCTATATAACGCTATATTACCTAACAGAATAAATTCTAGATGTGTTGCTTTGACACATTTACAACAGAAAGCTACTTGTGTATTCCAACATGTCCTGTAAGTGGATTCGTTCGAATAGGAGGTTAAAACATATGTATGAATATCATTTGCTCACTGACCCACACACAGACCGACAGAGAAATAGAGACTCGGTGCATAGTAGATCGGGGCGGAAAAGAATCTTGGTAAAAGGGCAACCATGTTATACGGATATAAATGAATTAACTCATTTAAAATTACTTCTATAAACCATTTTTCAGGGCATTTACAACCAAATGTTCTAAATAAAATCCATTGAGCTAAGTCAGCTAAGTTTTCGGGCTGATTCGTCCGTGGGATCATCGGTCAAAGGCTCTACTTAACCGTGCAAATTCTTGCCTGAAATGGTCATGATTCCCTCGAGGCGTGCGGTCTGTATGCTCTCAAAAAAGTATCAGAAAAAATTTTTCATCTGCTCGGATTTCATAGCTGAAAGTCGAGTGCATGATCCGAAAATTATGGGGATCGAAACTTACCTTTTCGAAAATTTCAGCCAGAAAAAAGGCTCCCGAAAATTCTAGATGACCTTTTAGGGTAAAAATTTGTTAAAAATGGGCAATTATACCACTTTTTAGATGCTCGAAAATCCTAGGAGAGGCAGGCAAGCAAGAAATTTGACAACAAATGTTCCGAAAATTCTAGATCTCTAATCGTCTTCCGAACAGATATTTTCCGAAAATTGACGTTGGGTGCCCCTGATAGAAAGAGGGATATGCACGTACACTTGTTTGGTATAAAACATTTCCAAGTGGTTTCTTTAATTGTACCTTTCTTTTCCTCTCAGTTATTGCTGTTCATCCAATCTCAGTCCATGTTTCTGGTGGTCAAGGTTCTGTTCTTGGTATACGAGTGTTTTGGAGCGTTTCTTTGGTTGGTTCGCCGATAGAATCACCAGGCATCCGCTAATCGTCATTTCCATATGTCTTGCCTTTGTCAGCGTATGTTCGGTGGGTTTTGTCTGGTTCCAGTCAGAGAACAGAACGGTCAAACTCTTTATTCCCCAACAGAGCCGGGCCATTGACGACTTGAACACCGCCGAGAAATACTTTAGAGTGAAAGTTCGTCAAGAAATTATTCTGTTAGTGGCATCATCTGATCATCCCAATGTTCTAGCTCCCGATTGTCTGCGGCAGGCCTTCAAGGCGCATCGCGCGATCGGGGACTACTCTGACTTCTGTGTCACCTTCTCAGGAGAGAAAGCAAGTGCGGAGGACGACTGCATGATCATTAACCCGCTGGAATTTTTACAGTTAAATGAAAGTAGCCTAGATGGTAAAACCTTGGAACAGGTTCAAGAAGACATAACTACAGCATATAACAGCTCAAGCCGCTTGATGCGGAATGGCCGTACTTTCTTTTACAACTTCAAACGCACTTTTGGCGGTGTCAATTGGAAAGATGGAATTATCACAGGCGCCAAAGCATTGCAAATGGTGTATCTGATGAATGACCCCACTGATGACAAGGAGAACGACAAAGTTCTGGAGTGGGAAAAGAAGTTCATAAACAAGATAAATTCGTTAGTGGGTACTCTTTCCTGTTTTGAAGTCCATTACTCCAGTGAGAGAAGCTTAGACGACGCAATTGCCGAAAGCAGTGGCTCTGACGTCAGTTTGGTGGCAATCACATTTACTATCATGATAACCTTTGCCTGCGTCGTACTAGGCAAGTACCTCAATCCGCTGACCGGTCACTCGTTGCTCGCCAACGCAGGGGTGTTTGCTGTGGCCCTTGGAATACTATCTGGATTTGGCCTTGCCATGTGGTGTCGAGTTCCCTTCGTCAGTATCGTAGGCGTGTTACCGTTCTTAGTTATTGGAATTGGAATTGATGACATGTTAATCTTAGTTGATGAGCTTGATCGACAGCCACAGGACATGTCAATAACAGAAAAGATTAAAGCTGTGATGTCCCATTCAGGAGCCACGGTTACCATGACAACTATGACTGACTTGGTAGCTTTTGCAGTTAGTACTTCCACTTCATTTCCAGCAGTAAGGTACGTCGAATTTTTATGATGATCTATTTATTAAAGGGACGGCCAAACGGTTGGACGAATCGGATGCTACATGTTAGATGCAGCATTTGGACTAGATGGAAGTGTGGGACTGTTGTTTAAGAAGCAAATTGAAGTCAGTTAGTACGATTTTAAATTCAAAGAGCTCTCTCGAAAAGGGTGCAATAAGAAGAGCTATTTGTGCTGGGACATTCCAACGAGATCAAAAGCCTTCCTCGTCTTCTTGGCGATAACGTTACTTCACCTTCGGGCACATGCTGGACAAATTTTTACAAAGAAATCTCTTTACAGAGTGTGGCTCCATCGCTATCAGTAACCTTTTTCATTTCCTCTTGACTTTTTTGTCAATTTGGCATCTAATAAAATAGAACATTATCTACATGGTTCAATATAACCGTTGAAATTTACAATATGTTGGTGAAACTAAGCGACGCCTCAAGGACAGATTTAACGATTATTAAACAATTTTTATTGCGACATTCTCCATCTATATAATTATACTATTTGTAATTCCTATCATAAATTCAGTAACATCTGTATACCTGAAGAAGGCTGGTATGGCCAGCAGAAATGCTGTTACGAATAAGCAATATAGGTTTTTAATATCAGCTTTCCAGTAATGTTTGGATGTCTCGTTTTTTGGTTCTTAATAGTTTAGCTGATTAGATCTCTTTTCCAGAGATCCAACGTTGACAACCGGCAGGATCTTCGTCCACGGTTTTTGCAGTTAATTTCCTTATCGTCTAAGAAAATAGTCGTTAACGAAAATCTGTGCATCGTCCATGTATACACTGATGAAAGATTTCATTGTTGATTCTTGTCTTTTTAGGAACTTCTTAACAAGATTTAAGTCTCCTCATCCTCTAGCTGTCCGCGTTAAGCTTCTGAAACCTTCTTGAAACATTTTGCAGCCATATCTTATGTAAATTTTGCTAAAATATTTATGCGCTAGATAGCGCTATCAGTCTTTCAAACAACCCAGACTTAGGATAGAACACATCGGGAGTTTCGTAAGTTTGGTGCAGACTACATCAGTCTGCAAATCGATATCAAAAGCCTTTAGAGGAATCAAAAGTTAAGGCCCTGTCATATTTTACCGTCCCACCTGCCAATTCTTACTACATATGCTGGCTCTTTGGTGAGACTATAGTTGAACTCACTTTATAAGGAGCGTCCAAGCGCGTTTGACGTAAGGTATGAGCCAGAGCGCCTTGAAGAGCATAAGCGCTTAACCTGAGCGCACGTTTTAGCACTGTTTCTCTGTCTACGTGGTTTTAAGAGCATCTGTTTTTTCTCATTCTAGGTACTTCTGTATCTACGCGGCTTTGACAGTGACCTTCTCCTTTATAATGATCATCACATATTTTGTGGCCATCATGACATACGACTTAAAGAGAATACAATCAGGTCGTAGAGACTGCTTACCATTCTGCAAAGCGCCTCCGCCTAAGGAGGGGCAGCCAGCCTGGGACGAGCCTAGCCCACAATTATCAAATCGTGCTATGGAGGTCTGGGGCAGGTTTCTTACATATCCGCTGACGAAGGTGGTCGTTATCGTTCTATCTCTGGGGTTACTTGTTGCTGGAATATACGGAGTTACTAAAGTAGATGAAACATTCGACAGAAGAATCCTGGCAAAAGATGATTCGTACTTGAAACGATTTTTGTCTGCTGAAAAAGAGCATTTTGAACTGTCCATTGACGTTAGCATTGTAGAAACAGGAAAGATTGATTACGAGAAACCCTCTACACAGGAAGCCATCAGAAACCTAACACACATTGTCAGTAGCAACAAATACTACATTAACCGTTCTCTGTCGTGGATGGACAGTTATTTAACTTTTGCTAAAATGTCCAACATCAGTACTAAAGGTCCATCGTTTTTGCCTGGGTTAAAGACCTTTCTCAGTCAGCCAGAGTTTTCATTTTTCCGTCAAGATCTGAAGTTTTCCAGCAACGGTTCTAAACTAGAAGCGTCGCGCATTCTCTGTTTCATGAAAGGTAACGGCGAGTCTACATTCCAAAAAAGCGCTATGCAAACAATTCGCGACGATCTCGAAACCAAGTCCGAACTCGGAGTCTTTCCCATTACACGGTCCTTTATTTTCTTTGAACAGTATGCGATAACATCACGTGAAACTATACGGAACCTTATCATCGCTGCTTTAACAGTCTTTGTCATCACCAGTCCCTTCTTAGTAGATTGCACAGTGGCAATCCTCGTGTTGTTCAATTTTGCCGCTCTGATATGCGAACTGTTTGGTTTAATGGTCGTTTGGGATGTGTCCCTCAACGTCGTGTCTATGATAAATCTTGTTATGGCTATTGGCTTTGCAGTTGACTACAGTGCACACGTTGCACATGCGTACGTGATGTCCAACAAGTTATCAGCAAATGACCGAGTGGTAGATGCTTTGAGTACCGTGGGAGCGAGTGTACTCATGGGAGGTAAGTCAAAATTCTGAACATATATGACTCTGATACACGGCTTTGTCCGTTCTTAGCTCCAATCGGTATGCCATGTTGGTGAGCCTGTGTACAGCCGATCCCTCCCCTCATACAAAATTTATCAAATTCCTTCTTCCCGATTTCTTTTGAGGGAGGGGGTAGCTGTACACAGGCTGTAAATGCTGATAACCCTAATAAAGGCGAAACAGCTGTAGATAGCTGCTACTGTTTGCCCGAGTGATATAGCGGCGCGGATGCGTTAGGTAGTCGGCAGGCCCAGGGTTGGTTTACTGTGTCGATTGCAAATGTTCTGGAAAACTATCTTAATTTTGGCTTTGCCACCCAACGACTAGAGCATTCATAATGAACTTGAAAAGACTTGTTTTCAATACTTACCGACATCTCAGGCCCGAGTTAAGCCTATTTCCTCCAAGATATTTTACCGATAATGACTTAGGCGTCAGGAGGAGAACGAGGAGGCAGCGTGGCCCAGTGGTTAGAGCGCCCGACTTGCAATTCGGAGGCCCCGAGTTTAAGTCCCACCCTGACCGCTAGCTGAATTGTTCACGGTAGTTCCGAGTTCAAATCCTCGGCCACGTTTGTAAATAGCCAGCTGGTTTGCCTCCGGCCAGTTGGGATTCTTAAGTTTGTTAAGGACAATTTGAATTATTTGTTTCAGGCATTTGCTCGGCCCCACTAGCATTAGTGCTATAAATACTGCCGAGGGTAAATAACGGAATTATTTAATAATATTTATATTTATTTTACTTCCTGGACAGGTTTTCATTCAAAAATACTCCTGAAAAATTACACAACATGATTGCTGTAAAGATTTAAGCTTGAGCGACAGTAAATCTTGAAAACCTGTTAGCCTCAAAGAACTCTGGGAAGTTTGAAAATTTAAATAATTTACTTTTATAAAGCTTTTGCACTAGTTTTCAATAACTTCAGTAACTTCCTCACTTTTAATTCCGTCTGAACACGGTCTTCTGACAGTGTATTGATCATAGTTTCATTCATAATGTCAACCTGGAATTGCTTTATTTCGGTTTTCCTTGGGGTCATATTTACGAAGCACTCTCAAGTCAAGATTTCTTAACAAAAGGCTATTACTTTGCAACAAATTTGGCCTCAGCGGCTACCACCCAGCATATTCAGAGGCAATACACCAGACTTGACAAACAAAGGAATGGCATGAGCTCTGCTGTCAAAAAATTACATCAACCGAAGAGCTCGTTTTTGCAATGTTGTAATTTTGTACAGATTTGAATTGGTAGCTAGTCCCCATGCAGTTAGTCCATAGGAAATATACGGTTCGATTAAGAAACGATAAAGCTTTACGAGAGTTACTGGTAGGCAGAAAATTGCTAAGCCTGGCAATGATGCCTACCGCTTTGCTTATTTTTGACCGAGTATAGTCTATGTGGTACCTCCAAGAGGGGTGACTATCAATCAAAACAACGAGGTATTTCACATAATGTTCTTGTTCAAGATTGGTCAAAATCTTCAAGTCATTGTCATACATTCTTAAGGGATGACAAAATTAAAGTTGCTTGTGTTTAGTGATAATTTGCTTGTATTTTGTCATTTACAGACTTTAATTAGTTATTAATTGACAACAGATTTAAGCGATTTCAAATTTTTGTTTGCGTATAATATATTTGTATCGTATCATCAGCAAATAAATAGAGGTTGATTTTAGGGGAAATACGGTAAATGTCATTAATATAGATTGAGAAAAGTAACAGCCCTAGGAGAGACCCTTGAGGAAGACCAAATAATATTTTTTCTTTGCTAGAAATGGTAGCTCCAATTTTAGTACTCTGGGTCCTGTCAGGTAAATACGAAGCGCCACACAGTTATTGATAATTCCACGTATTCCGTATACCGTATTATTCTTCACATTACACTCAGCCTCATCCGATAAAGGAAATTTCGCACGATAAGAAATTCCCGGAAGGAAGCCCTAATATTGTTTAATAACTACCCCAGTGAGTAGATTTTTTTAGGTCTTATTTAATTTTGATGAGGCCCGAATTTCTTCTTTTTCCCTCCGGCCAGGTTTCAGTACCTTCCTTGGAATGATCGTGCTTGCTTTTGCTGCATCCGAGATATTCCGAATCTTCTTCCGAATGTTCCTTGGAATCGTCGGGTTTGGCCTTCTTCATGGTCTTTGCATTCTGCCGGTTTACATGTCCTTGCTGTGTTGGAGGCCTGCAGTTAACACATCTCCCTCGGTCAGAGTTAGCGCGGAGAATCTTAGCCAATCCCAGAAAGACAAAGGTAGCCAGGAGTTGCATGTGGCGGACATAGGAAGTGAAAACAGAAGTCTTGCAGGTAATCACCCTTCTTTGAAGGGCAAGCAACACAGTGATGATTCACAGCAAAGAAACATCATCGGAATTTCTAACAAGGGCATGATATCAGATGAGAAGAAATTGGATATATCGACAGAAGAAGGTGGCGATGCGGACAGCAAAACCAATGAGGCCACTCAGGAAACCAACAAGAATGAAGAAGAGCATTTAGCAACAGAAACAGAAAATTCCTCGAATGAATGTGACACTAAAACTGCCACGACAAAGTTATAATTTACTGCCCCTACGGTATTTTAATTCGTATTTAAGTATTGAGGATTTTATACTACTACATGGAAAAATTCAGCAATTTGATTGGCTTAGAGCAGTGGTATTTCAGCCTAATTTGAAATACCAGTACATGTGAAAATTACAAACTTTTTGCGGGTAGTACTATAAACCAATAATAATATGATTTGTACGTGATAATTGGCATAAATACCACTCGTGATATTTCAAAATTTTCTCAAACTTCACTCGCCTAACGGCTCGTGAAATTACGTATAACAATTTCGAAATATCACTGCAAATCATGCTATTACCTATACTAATCCGCGATAAAATTTACTTTACACGGGAAGGCCTAATGAGCCTTCCCAGCCACAGTTCGTTGCGCAAACTGAGGTTAAAAGGAGCCTCTTTCGTGATACATTTTAATGCTTTGTGGTACACGAGCCTAAAATATATTGTAAATATTTGCGACGTTTTCGCATGCCAGAGAATAATAAGTGTGTGTAATCAAATGGTGGCGAGTTTTATCAAACTTTTGATAACTTGACGAACCGCTATAAGTAATGGTAACAGGACTGAGTGGAGTCCAATTCGGTCTGTAATCATACGAGTGATTAACAAAATCGGACGACCGCGTAGCGGGAGTCCGATTTGTTGAATCACGAGTATGATTACAGACCGAATTGGACGACACGAAGTTCTGTTACCAATTAATCATAACTTGAACAAAATTTGTGATACAATAGGCTATTTTTTAAACCAAAACACAAGAAATTCGAAATTTTGTTTTGCTAGCAGTGAAAAAAAAGCCATTTAAGCGCGCGCGTGATGGCGCGTATTGTCCAATTACTTAGGCATGACGCGTACTGTCCTATTTAACTGTCCAATTAAGGCTGAAATCAGGGCAGTTGAGAGCCAATCAGATTTGACAATTTTGTTATAGTTATGATTAAATCCAATTACATTCTTGAAAACTCACTTGTCAGCCATGTTCATATATACGACGGCATCTTAAATGATGTAACAGTTTCAGCTACCAAAACGTTTCGGACGTTCAGACAACTCACATTTTTCCGGGCAAGCATGCCCCCGGACCCCTCTGCTTTATTAGGCACCCAAAAGCAATTCTACCCCAGCAATTGTGGTCTCATTGCAAAGTACGGCTGGAACTTAAATCTCTAGGAAGGCGGGGCCCCTTTTTATTAATAGTGGAAGGACAAAAAACTCTGACCTTACTAACAGGCAGTAGGTGTTTTTGTTCTGCCACTTGTCACACACTTATCATACATATGCGCGCTTCAATTTACAAATCCAATAATAACAAAATGGTCGAACCCACTTGGTATATCATCATTGCAGTAAATAGGTTAATACTTAACGACCTAAATTTGCTGCTTTTTGAAGCTGCCAAAGTTTCTCTCGCGGTTCTCGTTATTAGAAACGGACTCCTTTACGACGTTAGCTGTACAGAAACTGTCTGTTTTCTGCTTGTAGCCATTCAAAACGTCTATGTTTCTAAACTTTTTAGTCACTCATCCGGGATCTAAAAACCACGTCTTCAAATGCCGGGCAGATGAGAACGACGCTTACCAGGAGCGTTGAAGGAAGGATTTACAGCAACCTACTGTTAAGACTTCCTGGACGACCTTCTTCTCTGGTTTTGGCCTCTTTGTCACCGCCGACGGTATGTCATCGAAACACAATGTCTCGTCATCCTCCAGCGTAACTTTAAAACACTTAACAGGTTGGGTAGCGCCCCAGTATCAACTGAAGATATTTGCTTTATGATGCTTTGCAAATCACTAAGCAGCTCCTCTTTAAACACGATTGGCTCTATCTGGGCGTAGGCCCTCATTATAGACCCTTTTAAAGACCCTTTTAAAACCTTTGGTAGTTAGGGATAGGTTAAGGCACCAACCTCCCGCCTGGCCGAAGTGCGTCGCTTTCTTGGAGAAGTTGGATCGCCAACCAGGCCTTCACTCTTGCGGGTAACGTTATGGGGTAGAAAACGTCGAAGCTCTGATCAATGCGCATTTTAGTGTGCGTTTCCCTTGTTAGATTTGCCGGGGGTTTTCCACTGAGAGCAGCCATCTTTTTCTCCTGATAGTCATAGATTATTGTTGTAAGAATAAAGCGGCTCTCCAAGGCTCGAACCAATGAAAAAGTCAGATCTTTCCATGTAGGAGTTGCATCCAAATAGAATGGACGAGCCATCGGACTGTTATTAATCCAAGCAAAAAAAGTGGTAGGGCTATAGTATTACCAGCCCCTCCCCCTCCACAGTCTCTGATTCTCGGGGAGTGTGATCACTCGAAATCACTTTCATGGGCTTCTGCCGCACTGACTTAATTTTATAAGACTGATCAACTGATAAATCTGTCAAAAACTGGCTATGGCTTTCATAACTAGAAATGCGTTCTTCTAAAAACTGAATAAGTAGAGTTTTCGCACTAAGAGCAGATCAGGTTTATATTTTCGTATTGATTAATTCTTTTGTTATCATTTGCTAACAAACTGACCTCTAGCAAGCATTCATAAGACCGTTGACTGTGAACACGCGGCACCCCGTGGAGGTTGAATATCCTCGAAACCACCAACTTAAAAGAGCTATTTAGAGCGGTTTTCATTTGAGTGTCGAAAAGTAATTGGTTTTGCATTTTCTACACGATGCGATTGGCTTAAAAGATTCGCGCCACCTTTTCATCCAATCAGAAGTAAAACCAAAGCCAATTGTGACGCGCTTTGCGTCAGCCACATGTAATTACTTCGAGTTTTGATTGGTTCAATGTATTGTCTGTGTCCTATGTGATTGGCCAGAGTAATTACTTTGGTTTTGGTTTTACGACACTCAAACGAAAACCACTCTATTCTATACTCAAAACAAAACAGCAGTGTCACGCGCAAACGGCGCTATTGGCAATCTAAAGTCTGAATAAGAGAATAAAATGGGAAGGAAGTCCCCCTTTCCGCGAAATCAAGAATGGAGTAGTGGGTATACCAAAACGCTCCGATCTTGATTTGGGAAGAGGGGAGGGAGGCCGTTCATCAGTCAACAAATTCGCTGGGAAAAGAAGCGCCCACTCTTTACACCGCAAGGCCATGTCGCCAATCGAGACTGATCCAGCACTTGTCTAAGTCGGAACGTCTCCTGAGTAGAGCTCATAAGTTCCCGCCACGTTGTCCATCATTACATTGTAGTTCTGATATCTCAAACTGATTCAACGAAGGTGAAGTGTCTTCTTTCACGGTTTGTAGTCCCTCTTGATGGTTGCCACCGATAGCACAACTTAAAAGTCATAGATTCTTCTTTATCAGAATGGCGTACACAGCTGTGGTCTGCCATTCTCAATGAGCCCTTTCTGATTCTTTCAATAGTTTTGGTAACTCCCCAAAACCTTTTTGTAATACGCTGTCTCTAGTAGGAGCACCATGCGCTTGTAACATCCGACATCGAAGGATCTATCCATATCCCGGCTTTCTTGTCAGGGTTCAGAGGTTACTATAGTTTACTTCGGACTACAACCACAGGAAAAAAACCTAGCCCGCGTTCCCGGCAGTATACACACTACTACCGCAGAAGAGACTAGTCAGCGGACTGACTAACAGCAAAACATTGAAAAATGAAATAATAAAAAAAAATGGCATGAATGAAATTAAAGATATCTTGTCTTAATTTGGTTTGCGAGATAAACGTCTTTCAGGGTACGGTCCCACTTGCTAATTTTATGACGGCAAAGCTGACTGTCATGGATACATATTTGTGCCGTTGAATGGTGTACGTTACATTTGTGATTATTAGCGATCAAGGGGAAACAAAATTCGCTCTTATAAAAGAGAGGCATATTCAGAGGAGCAGTTGAACAGGAAGGACGGGTAGGAGGTTTGATGGAGGATTTAAGATAATCCGATGAGTTTTAGGTTACTGCTAAGCCCACAGACACGTAAAAGGGGGCCTGGTTTGACTGCATGGCTAGAAGCTCAAACTACCCTTCATGATCTCTAGTTTTAATCGATTTAATAAAGTTAATAACTATGAGGCAAGAACGAAAGGCCCAAAAATGTGGCTAGATACTTAAAAAAAGAACGTGGGTCTCGAAAAATTTTGGTAGGATCTCGAAATCTCGAAAGCATTTTTGATCAGTCTCGAAGTCTCGTTTTTGCATGGTTTGTTTTTACTTTTTTTGAGTCTCGAAACTTTGAGTCTCAGGCTCAGATTTCTAACTAGGATCTGGGCGTCTCGGCGAGTCTCAGTTCAAGTTTACCATTCGCCACCCCTATACTTGTGGGTTTGCATGCGAGAAAGGGAAACAAAAGGAAACCTGTTGAATGATTGACTCCTGAGGGTATTGAAGAGAACGAAAATTTGAATAGCCAATGCATTGAAAAAGTTACTTTTACTTTAATAGGTATTATCGTTGTAGACATATGTGCTCGAGAATGGTTTCATTTCCTGTTCTGCAATGCTTGCATCTGTTCAGATTCCCAACTCTTGGACCTTTGTGGCTGTGGTTCTTTCCTTCCTTATGTTGAGATGGCGAAATAACTAAGAATGCGTAAAGTTTGTTTTCAAAACAATTTATGCACAACTGCTAGAGAAATTTGGCGTTATATTAAAATAATAGGAAATTTTGTTCACAACTGTGCCCTGGTGCTTTGCTTGGCAAAAATGAACACTGCAGCTGCGACAATGTCCGCAAGATAAACTTGAAGGCCCTTCATTGAACATCTAAAAACGTTTTCTGGCAGAATTAACCCGCAACGATTTGGTTTAAAATGCAGAGATCAATAAATTTAGAATACAAATACATGTTTTTTTTTTTTACAAAATTGCTGTAATTTTTGCAGTGAACAACATCAGCCGATTTTTTTCTTCAAATCGTGGAAAGGAAGGTGTGAGCGGGGGAAATGGTCGCCGTGTGACGTCACCTTACGCAAGCGCAGTTGCTGATTACTTAGGGAAATCAGTTTTAGTTTGTCCGTTTTGTTCACTGAGTTAATTCGACATTTCCACATTCGCGCTCTCGAAATAACACGTTCGATGAGCTACACATCAAAATGAAGAGACGAAGCATTGACCCTTCGAAACTGAGAAGGCCTTTAAAACGTTCTCGTATCACAGAATCTATTTACGGCAGGTAAAGTCGATGTGTCGAGTCGCTCAGTGTTGTACTAGCACTGTTGTGAATATAATATAAAGGTCTTTTCTTAAATATGCTTTCCTCTTTATTTCTTCTAGTGCATTTCTGTATGTTCGGTTTTTCTTAGTATGGATAATGGTCTTGACTGCGGACTTTCTATTGGAGTTTCGCTTTGAATATCTTTGGCCTTTCTGGTTACTTTTACGGAGCGCTTACGACTCATTTAAGTACCAAGGTTTGGTAAGTTTTCAAGAAATTTAAACCTTGCTTCTGTCGTTTCTTGCCGCTCATTGGCCTTTTAAGTGATCCCAGGGTTGCTATCATAACTGCGGTTTTTACTCAAATTTATTCTAAATGTTTTGATAGCTCTAGCAGTTTATTTTCCGGTTATGTTTTTCAGGCTTTCTCCCTTCTATTTCTCACTTTGGCTTTCTGTTCGGATCTCATATGTTTGATGTTTCTACCTGTGCATTGGTTGTTCTTTGCCGCAAGCACGTATGTTTGGGTTCAGTACGTCTGGCATACAGGTAAATTACTGGACATGCTATCTGCCAGAATATTAACGGCGTTAAACGCAGTGGTAGTTGAAAACGTTGACCGCTAAATTCGCACAGGGAAGATTTCAGTGTTTACATTTCGTCCAGTATTGGTGAATCAAGAGTGTGGGAGTTACATTCGAAGGTGGGGAATTTCCGCGAATGTGATCACCGGCGCGGGATTTCCATCGGTGAAGTAAGAATCCATAAAATTTGTAATGAATCTAATGATTCTCCGTTTCTAATAATTTACTGTTTTCACGTTTCAGATCGCGGTCTATGCTTGCCAACCGTTAGTCTATGGTTACTGTTTGTGTATGTAGAGGCGTCTGTACGACTTAGAGAGCTTAAAAATCTTCCCTTTCACTTAGATCTCTGTCGACCTTTTGCCGCTCATTGGTAAGTATAACGTTTAAGTGCTTTGAAGATGGTTTTTGCCACAATGGGGTCAGTAAATTATATTTTCAGATCAATATGTGAACAGTTCAGACCTAGACACTTCCCAACCTAATTTACATTTTAGCAAAAGATTTCCTCAAACTGGCAGCTGGTTATTCCATGCAAAGCAGCCTTCGTTCAGATATCGTCGGAAGTAAACCCTTTTTGTAGTTAGAATTCAATGGTTGTCTTTAAAATTTCCTCGAAAAGCCTGCTCACATCAGTTCCTGTGGTCATCGCATTTTATCAATAATAACATTTTTACCGCCAATTTGTACATTGGTCCTGGGAGTTCTCATTTTCGAGTGATTAATCATTAAAATCTGCTTTATTTTGAAAATGCTTAACTGATACCTAAAGGAATAAGCTGCTTTTACTTAGAATAATTGAAACATTTGAACCATTTTTGCTATGATTTATTTTTTGTTATGTCATGGAAAAATGCACATGTGTGAACTTTCGACGTATTGAAAAATTTTAAGTGAAATTTGATTCATTAATGTTGACCACGGTGTTATAGAGACTGTTCATTTGAGGAAGGTTATTCTGATAAGGATAGACTTTGAGAATTTATTTATATTTTTACTCAGAAATGTTACCCTCTGCCCTTTGTACTGTTGTCCTGTGATTTAGAATTGTATACCTGTCAGATCTGCCTTACCTTTCATTCTCAATATTTGCCACCAGTGTTAATTTCAAATTTAAGGTAAACTGTGCAGTGTTTCAAGCTAAAGTTTCTTCAAAGTTGTCTTCTGGCAACCTGAAATCTTAATGTGGTTGCAAGCATAAAATATTGGTCACCAGAAAAATGGACACAATGTTAGATGAGGTGGATGGAATGATCAAAGGGGCTGTCTGTCTGTTGAGGTTTTGTAGGGCTTGAAATTGTGACTGATACAGTCACATGCGATTAACATTTTCTCCCTGGTTAGTCACCACTTTGGAGACCAGATTTCTCTATGATTTAGATTTAAATTAAAAGAGTAAAGTTAAAACAAACATTTCATGTGCCAAATCACATAAACAAAGCCAGTTAACCTCCAAATTTATACCTACTTCTGTCCACAATATTTTCAAACAATCAAATCTGATGGATTGCACCATACTAAGAGCTGCATCATTTACATCATGCAAACAGGCGACTAAAAATTTGACTTTATTTCTCCAGTTCGACGTGAAGATTATTTTTTAATTTCAAGCCCTGTTTTGCCATGACTCTGAAACCTGAATAACCCTAGGGAGAGAAAGGCAAATATTAAAGAATTGAGAGTGTAAATAATGTTTCTTGCAAATGTTAATTTCACTTAAACACGAGAAAACCATAAACATTAATTAAACATTGTGGTTTGACAACTTTTGTTGGAGTTTTAAATGATGAATTTTTTGTTGCCTACCATGGTGATGGAAATAGTTTAAGCTTGGCGCTCTGGGTAGAGGATTAACTCAAGCGGGTGGGGGAGTGGGGTGGTAGTTGCTTGTTTGATTTTTCTTAAATCATATATCCAGTTAATTGGTCATTGGTTGGTTATTGTGAAGAGCTGTCCATGACCATGCACTGATTTACATCTCTCAATTACAGTGTAACCTCTCCTTTGGGACACATCTATTTAAGGGACATGTCCACGATTTTGTCCTCTGTTGGAGGGACACCTCTGTTTGGGAAAAGGACGTTTTGGGTCCCGAAACCTGGGTTTAACCTCCATTCAGAGGACATCTTAGCACTCAAAAAGTTACTGACCATAAAAAGCATTGATAAGTTTAAGGTATTAGATCTGCTATAAACCCTTCCATTTGAAAAATTTATTTTTCAAATGATTAAGAATTTTGCAACATAAAAATTACACAGGCCTATCAAGCTAGAGCTGAGCTTTCAGAAAATTGATATCCGAGGTGTCAATTTTACACCTGAGGTGTTATTTCCGATTTATACCGCAGGCTCAAAAATTCTATAATTCTGTATTTCTGCCTTTCTCTCAATAGCTAGGAATAAAAAAAATTGAAACTGACTTATACTTAGTTTGTTCATTTACCTTTAAATTCCTGGCAGTAGCCAGTAAATTTTTCCTGAGATATAGAGCTGGAATTTTTTTGTAATAACCTGTAACTTCAGGCCGCCGTAAAAATTCCTAAATATTCTGGGAATTGCAGGAATTCAGTACATTTTTGGTTTACATTATCTGAATAAGCCTGGCAAGTTTCAGCGCGGTATTATAAATCTTCATCTTTTTACAGTGATTTGTTTTCACGATGGTCCAACACAGCCACAAAATTGCCCTTAAATCGCCCTTAATTTTTGTCGCCCCGTGCTGTTTTCTTCGTCGCCGTCTTGATTTTTTATGAGTAAACCGCTGTTCTTAATGTTTATTGTGACACTGACCCGATTGTAGCACGGAAAGAGGTGAGAAAATACGAAAATCTTTGTTTGAACTTGTTGCGTGACATGCTCTCAATATGGCGTCATAAACAGTGTTTTAACCTTAGCAATGTGCTAATTTGCATAATAGATCATTTAACTGCGGCCTTATCTGTCATCAACTTTACAAGGATCTTATATCTGCTGTGTCTCTAGAAGGCTTTTTACGGCCATAGAAATGATTTAGAAATATCAAAACAATCATACTTAATTTGGGGAAGCAGAATGTTAGGGAATTTTGCTACAATTTGCCTTGGCTTACTTGAAACTCATAACATGTTATGTGTGTTGGGTTGTAAAAATTGCCACATTTCTGTCAACAACGGAAACTGTCATGTTGCATTTCAGCCCTGTGATTATAAATATTTCCAAAAAAGCGCTTTGAGATACCAACTTTGGCCTTCATGTTCTCAGCTTATATTTAATGAAAATGCTTCATTTTTGGAATTTGAGTTCAGGTCAAGAGTACATTTCAAATAAGAGATTTTATAAGCATGATCATTTTTAGACTTTATAGCAGTTCTAATATCTTAAGTATACACCAGTCACAATGACGACAACTTTCGCAACATGAATGGTGTCACTGAAATCAAATGAATGTACTACATAGTTGAATTTCAACACAAAAGTTTGCTTAGATAAGTTAATCATGTCTTTTATGCATTATCTAGTTGCCTGAAATATTGGCTGTATTCACACTAGAGATGGATTATCCATCTGAGAAAGGTTATCCGTTGGATAATTCGCATCAGACAGATAATACATCGTAATTTAAACATGAAACCATTTTAATTTTGGATGTACAATCCACTTGACTTTATCCATCTGTTCTTCCCTCAATTTTGATGGATTTTGAAGATGGATTATCCATCTCAGATGGTTACCCTCTAGTTTAATTATTATTTTTATTTAATTATTTATTTTTTATCATAAATAACATTGTTCCTTAAATTTCAAGATAATATCTAAATAATATTATGTATTAATTTACTGAGCTGTGTTTGTAAAGTAGGAGCAGAGTTTGTATACTTAACCACATTCTGCTGAATGTAGATGTAAATATTGGTGAACAAATCTGTTTTCTTGAAATAAATAATGAATAATGAACAAACTTTCCAAATAATAAGGAATGTATCGTGTCTGTTTTCTGTCTGGTACTATGGAAACCTGTCAATATTGGTTGATTTGTATCAGTTTTTTTCTACTTTTCCTAATTATACTGTTATTTATTTTAGGCGCATGGGGTTAAATTTGTCATATGCTACAGTCATTAAAGAAATTCTTAGTTACCATCCATGGATGCAGCAAAGCTCAAAACCCTTCAGAAATTCCTGAAATGATCTTTATTTTTACCCTTATTTTTGACTTATAAGCCCTTAAATACCATCTGTACTTGTGAGGTAAGGAGTTGCTTCTGGTTACTCATCCAGTGGTAGTAACCAGTTATTATACTTTTCCTTTGCAGTATTGGTTATCCTGTGGTGACACTTGGTTATGGCGTTAAAAGCTATGTTGGCTATAAAATGCGTCAGGTAAGAACAGTTAGTCTTATTTACAACTATAATATGTTTACTTCTGTAAAGGACCAGTGTTGAGTGTTGAAATTTATCCAAGTGTGTCTTTGACTTGCATCTTTATTACGCATTTGAAAGTGGTTCTTTTCAATAGAGTTTCGGGTCAAACTAAAGCATATTGCTTAAGTTATGCTGATTTTTAGAGATACTTACTGAACTCTTCTCCCTCAGATAGTAAGGCAGCTCAGTATTTATGTTCTTTTTTTTGGCTTTCATTGTTCTGTACTAAAATTATTAGGAAAACTTTTTGTACATTTACAGCGAAGAGTCCAACATGTGGCAAAAGAAAATGAGTTTTATATGCAGCTTATTAACCTTGCACTGCCACCTGAAACAAATAATCACACAGAGGCCACAGAGAGGTTATCATCCAGAGGTATGGCTTTTTGAAATACTCTTATGGTACTAGTAATAACCAAAGATTACAGATTGTGGGTGACATTAATCAAAGGTCATAATGCTTTTGCTCCAATGCTGTGCTTTGTGTAGGATTCGCTTGATAGATAGTTAAAACACACAGGATTAGAATATGAGACATAGAAGGTCCAAATGCCTGTCAGATCAGATTGTGTTCTGTGTATTTTCCATTCATTCTTAGCAGAGGTCCAAAAGGAGCTGGCTATATAATTGCTGTGCATGCATAATAGTAACCTGGAGATTATGATTGTGGGCTTCTCTTGTTGCCCAAAAATATGCTAGTGACATGCTTGCCTTGTCGCAGTAAGTTTCAATTGTGTTAAAATGAAAACTGCAGGCTTCAAAGGTGCCAGGGGCATGGGGCCCATTTCTCAAAAGTCTTAATAATAAATGGGGCGGAAAAAGTTACTCCTGTTTACATTCAAGATCAAGGTTTCAATAGTTTTCCAGATAATAATATGACAAAAATATCAATGGACAAAACAAAATGGAGTTGTTTGTTAGCTAAAACCTGTGCTCTTATTCTTCATATTTTCTTTATACAGTATTTGATTAAGGGCCTGAAAAGTTACTGGGACTTTCAAGAGATAGGCCCAAAGGATTGGGGATTTCCTTATGGCTACTTTGTATGCAAACACTGGCTACTTCAATAGGAAATTAGGAGAAAGATTGAACCAGAAGAAATCCCTAGCTGCTTTATTCCTGGCCTGCTTTTTGTATTTACTACTACAACTTGAAATCTTGGTGATAGCCCTGAGCTGATATTGTCCTGTTCAAAGGCCACTGTAGTTTGAACCAATCTTTCAGGAAGCTCATTTTATTCCTCACTGAGAATATTATGTTTTTGTTTACTTGGTTTGCAGCTATTTGTAATGGCAAAGTTGCAAATGGAGATGTATCAATACCAAGAGGACGGTCACTGCCTCTTATGACAAATGGGATAAACACAAAAACTGATCTTGATCTCATTATAGCAAAAGAAGCTAGCCGTCGTGGATTAAAATTAAGTGATATAGAGTCAAGAGCTACTTTGAAAGGAAATAATTCTTTAGATGTTCATCCTTCAAAGAAGACTAGCGAAGACCATAACTTAAATGAACTTGACAAGCTGTCTCTGGAGGAAAAACAAAAGAGCAGTAAAGGAGGGCATCATAATCGCACTGCTTCTTGTGGAGTCTTTTCAAAGAAGAAACATGTTGGAAAGCATAATGACGAGGATGATGATGAGAATGAGGAGACAGATAGTGATTCTCTGAGTGCATCTGGTAGCTCTATTAATAACAGCCGTAAGAACAGTAGGAGTAATTCTCCCAAGGTAACAACATATACTTTTTAAAAATAAATTAATAAATAATAATTTAAAGGTAGCATGTCCACTTACCACCTGTTTCCTGGTCAAATTGGAATTTGGAAATGTTGGTTTTTGAGAAGGTAAAAACCAAAGTACAGGGAGAAAAACAGAGCAAAGGAGAGGACCAACAACAAACTCAACCCTCATTTAAGCCACTTATGGCTTTGATGTAGGGACTTGAACCCAGGCCACTTTGCTGGGAGGCAAGTGTTCTCACTGCTGTGCCACCAAAGGCACCACCCTTGTATTTTTGCATAGGTTTCTCACAAAACTTTATAGCTGAAAGAAGAAGAGTCTTTGTACTGTAGGCAGCAGTAGATTAGATTGAGAGACGCTTTTTGTGTGTTACACATGTATTTTGGGGTAGGTTTGGGAGGGGAGTCTGCCTCTTCTATTTGGGGAGTTTAAAATTTTGAGGGCCTTGAAAAGTCTATTTTAGTGCATTTTGACCGACCAGGCAAAAATTCTAGCCATAAGGATGGCAGCTTTGTTAACTGTGTTTGTTTATGCATGGAAAAAAAAGTGTTGAGAAAAAAGTACAATGGATTTTTTATTCTGCTAAAAACACTTGAGCAACCTGCCCTTCTCTGATGACTAGATGGAACTTTCCTCTAGCCTGCGAACAGGCTCCCATAGTAGAGTCGGGTGAAAAAGAAAATTGGTGAGCAAAGCATGGCCTGGGAGAGTAGGAGAGGTGGGGGAGCCTGTTGAGTTTTGCTGCCCATTTGCTATTTTATCCTGTAACACACATGTCAGCAACATGTCAATAAGGTACCAGTTATTAGAACTGTCAAATTGTTATGATGGTTTTTATGCTTGAATACATCAGTTTTGTTAACATTCGCATGCACATGAGGTATTTTTTGCAGAATGAGGAATATATTCATTCAATATTATTTTGTCGCTCACTTGTCAACAGTCAGCGATCTGACCAAACAGATGATGGTACCAGAATCTGTCATCATAGATGGGCGGTATCGGAACAAAGTCTACAGGCTCACCCACCTTTTTTTCTCCCGCAGGCCAAGCTCAGCTTGCTTCGCTCAACGATATTCTTTTTTGCCCCACTCCACTTGGGAGCCTGTTCTCAGGCCAGTTTATCTCTGGTCACTAGAGTTCTGGGGACCTCGCTGTTGTTTTTTATCAGTACAAATCAAAAGCTATGAATGGCTATGATGCAGTACCCACCCCTGTAACCCTTAATGGCTTACTATTGCCCTTGCTCGACTAGGGATTTTTAGCGTTTTCATAGATTTTCTTTGCTTGATACCCTGGATTTCAAACGTTCAGAGGACAGGGTACCATTTAATTTTTCTTAGGGCACAGCCTTGTATGTGTACATCCAGTGGCATTTTTAGAAATTGTGGTGTACTAAAACTAGTCAGTTGTGGGGCAAATAAGGATGAAGTTTTGTTAAGGGAGGTAGAAAAAGCATGTGGTACTGTAAAAACCTGCATTTAAGAACCCCTGTTTGTTTCACAGTTCTGACTTTCGCTTAATGTCTTTCACAAAATAATCTTTCGTCCTCTTCATCAAAATGTGTCATGTTTTATATTAAATGTTACATTTTGAGTTGGTTTACATAGTTTATTTCTTTCTTCAGGGACACGAGAAATCTCAGTCTGTTGACCTTGGACCCAGTGTTTTCTCACAACTGAAAGAGGAGCGGCTGTTACGGTAACAACACTGTTACACTTCACATCATTCACTTACCACTTATTGAACTGGGTATCGGGGAGTGAGGGCGGGGGACCCTCATCCCAGACTAACTTTAAATCCGCATACAACTGACCGATTTCCCTTAAACCTTACAGTACCCTGTTCCAGACCAAAATCCTCTGATTTCTATCTGCTTACATGAAGCTCTTCGGACTACATTGGCGTGTGTACTAATTTCATTCAAGTATTTTCTGGCATGAATCCATTGTTTTAAGGCTAAGGTCTATCCTTTCTTTTGGTTGTTGATGTTTTTCTCACCCAATTATTTTAGAGCTTCCACCTGGCCCATTTCTACACCCCACCCCAGAATAAACTGCTTTAAAATCCGACCCTTCACTGTCACCTCTCTCCATAGCTTGTATAAATGTCTTGAAATAGAATAACTGAGTTTCACATAAACTCCGGCCAACTTGTTAAGAGTTCAAACCACTATAGACACTGGTCTTACTGGAAAGTCAAGACGCCAAAGTGAATACCACAGTATAAATTAACAGACTGAGCAATACACTTGTCCTTTGTTGTTCCAAAGCTGGATAGGGCTATTTACCGGATAAATCACTATCCAGTGGATAGAAAACCAATTGCGTTACCCTCTGGATAGAGATTTATCCAGTGGATAGCACTTAATCCACGTTTTAAATAACTGGGGCCTGAAGGTGACTGTGGGAGATTTCATTGTAATGTTTTTCCGTTTCAGTCGTCGTGCGGAGAGTAGTCTCAGTCAGTTGGAGAATGACAGCAAGCGACTGCGAGTAGAGCTGCAGACAAGCCGTCAAGGGGAGCAAGAGCTGAGATCCACCATGCATAGCTTAATGGCCAGTGAACGCTCTACAAAGGTGGAACTGCAGCAGCTCAAGTCTGAGTGTGAAATTATACAACAAAAGTGAGTTAGATCGGCATGGTGTTATAAATATTGGTAATACGACTCAATGGACTCGGTAACCTTTATTGAGGGGAGAAACATGCATAGAATTAACCTAATCTATGCTAGACCGCGAGCGGTTGTCTTTTTGTCCTCAGATCCACGCGCGGAGTGAAAAAGTAAAATGATGCAGATTTAAAATGCTAAAAAGAAGTAGAGAACGGGTGCGGAGAGAGCTTCCGCCCTTGTTTTTCGCGGCTTCTGTTCGCCCCTCACACCTGCTCTTGATGTACTGAGACTCCCCAAAAAATCCGGTTATTGTGAAGAATAACTCCCCTAAACCGACTGTCGACCAACTGTCGGTCAGCTGTCGGCCGACAGTTAACCAACACATTACCGACATATTACCGACACCTTCCCGACAGTAACATCCGCACGAAGAACTGTTAAATTGAAACACCTAAGACCCGATTCGGCGGCATGTCTCGCACGAAAAACTGTTAAAAATGAAACACCTAAGGCACGATCTACAGCATGTCTTGCCAAATGACCTTTTTACCTCAGTCTGTGAATAAAATTGTCTGTCGGTCGACGGTTGATCTTCTCTCGGTTTACGGGAGTTGTTCTTCACAATTACCAAAGATACTGAGACAGGTCATAGCTCTTGTGCCCGCTGCTACCACCTATACTACCGGAGATTCCCCCGGAGTTCCGCCAATCACATCGATTTGGCAGCGAGTGGGTTTGACCCCAGCGCTCCTTGCTACACTCTTGCTCCACTATCCAAAGAACGGATGAAGACATCCACACTGAATTAATCTTATTCCTGTTCTATATTAATGACATCCTTTGTACACCAAAGTTCGGTAATTTATAGTGTTGTGATCTTAAAAATCCTACAGACTGCAGACCATGTCCACGCAGCGGCAGCAAGATCGCAACTCAATGGCATCTTTGGAGCGCAAGTTAAAAACAGAGCGTGATGCGAGGCTTTTGGCTGAAAGTCAGCTTCGCGATGAGCGCAGACGACAGAAAGCGGAAGATGCTGCAGCCAAACAACGCGACGAGACCACCGGGCATGATGCGTGTAATGCACTTCGTTCCGAGCTGGAGGAAGATAGCCGACAACTGCGCGCTTTACTGCAGGAGAAGGAGGAAGAGATTAAACGTCTCGAAAGCGAGTCTGAAACACTGAGGCAGAAGACTCGTGAGTATGACAGTATGCAATTAAAGAAGGAAACAGAAGTGCTAATGTCCGCTCTTACTGCAATGCAAGGCAAGAACACTCACTTAGAGAACAGTCTAAGCTCGGAGACGCGCTTGAAACTGGATCTGTTCTCAGCGTTAGGTGATACTCGACGTCAACTGGAGATAGCGCAGGCGAATATCAAGAGCAAAGATCGGGAAATTGAAGCTTTCAAGCGTAAGATTGCCGAGGTCATGGCTGTTGTGCCCGCTGCTACCACCTATACTACCGGAGATTCCCCCGGAGTTCCGCCTCACACCCCTCGTTACGCCTCCAATCATCTCATCGGCCCCAATCACATCGATTTGGCAGGGAGTGGGTTGGACCCCAGCGCTCCTTGCTACATTCCCTCATGTAAAAGCCCTAAAGGTTTGCTGTAAGCTCATACTCAGTTCGGGGCTTGTTTAGTTGACGGCTGCCCGGGATTAATTTTAGTTTGTTACGGTCTCACATTGTGAATAAACGGTGAATAAAATGTAACGTGAAAGAACCAGGTTCTACCTTCAGGGACGGACGTTTTGTGTGCCTGTCACGGCGTAATTGCCTTGTGGCAATTTTGCTTCGGGATTATATCCCGAGAGAAAGGGATTACTCGAATTCTGGCAGAATTGGCAGATTATGTGACGAACAGAAACGTGTTTTTGTAGTTGTACACATTTTCGTCTTCTGTCACGAACGTCGTTCTGTACAATGTGAGTTTGTAACAGACTAAATTTATTCTTAAATTATAGTGTTCTTAAGTTATTGGGTTTGCGCAACAAGTTAAGCAAGCAGACACGGTATTTTTCTGGGCTTGCATATCATAGTTTACGTGTCGTTAGAAGTAACCACAGATGTTATCCCGGTTTCAAGACGAAAAGCTTTAAACATTGTCAAACTTTCACGTGATACTTTTTACTTCCAATTTCGAACTGTTTCTTTATTTAATATGCGTTAACGAATTCTCGTATGAAAACGTCTTCATTTATCTAATTCCTTCTCTTTGCAAAATAACACAATTTCTCGTTGCAAGAATTATCTTCATAAGGAGAGCGTTCTTTGAGACGATCTTACATTCTATCAAATAGAAATGTAAATTAGGGATTTGAATTCTGAGGTGAGAAACTGGCCAACTCAATAAAAATTTCAAAAGAATAGTAAATGCGGTCTTGTTTGAAATAGAGTTAACCGAAGGCTCAGAAACGTAGGCTTATTTTGAGAAAATAGTCTTCAATTTCGAGTGTGAATCGACCAAAGGAGCTCGATCTAGAGTCGTCAACAAGTACACACCACTCTTGGAAAAGTCACCCGGATCAAACGTCTTTTGGGGGCCACTAAATAAGGGATCTTGCTGTTCGGCTTTTTAATTTGCAGTCTTCCCACATCTAAGAAAAAGTATCAAAAAGTGTAAAACCAATCAAATTATTTATTTAATACCAACCTATTGGCATGGCAATTTAAGCTTTTCTGTAACTTGTATGACTTCTTAAGCGCCTTTCGTGTTTTTCACGGTCACAAGCAAGGAACGATGGGGTCTATTAACAATGAGATTCATAACATTAGTTTAATAAATTATGACACAGTTGAGAACGGTTTGTGTTTTATTGATTTGTGTTCCTTCTAATTAGTTCAAAAATAGAACAGGGCTCATTGCTTTCATGGCAATTCAGTGTTATTCGGGAGAAAGAAAAAATAACGTAATTTATAAGTGATTCTTGCTACGCTTTATTCGTATCCTGTCTTCACCTGAAAGGATTTTGATAGAGGTAGCCTTGTCACATACCCCAATAACAACCTCTCAATAACCTGTGTAGGGCACAGCCTCCCTCTCCTCTCAAACAAAATTGGGGAGGTTTTTTTCTGAGTGGAGGGGAGCGCAGTGTAGTCGAGAAAACAGCCGACATTTGGCGACGCTACCACTGGTTTCCCCGTCATTTGGCGGGAAACCAGCGGTAGCGTCGCCAAATGTCGGCTGTTTTCTCAGGCTAAGCGCAGTGCACATGCTACCTCTTTGGAAAACAGTACAACATAATTTGGACGGGGCCTTGTCCACATTAGTTCGCATGCTTGCTAGCGTGCGGTATGCGTTTTCGATTTCTCACCTCACGAGAACAATAGTTAACGGATCCGTGTTTTGGTAATCAGTGTTGGCAAAAAGGATGAACATCGTTCTGAGCGTGTTCTTTGCCAGGTGTTAGCCAATGGAAACAGGGGTTGTCGTAGGAAAAATCATGCCCTTTTTAACGTTAAGTCTGGTCTTTCAGCATCGAGTGACCAATTTGCCCGATCGTTACCGGTAATTCCAACTCGAAAGTGTTCAAATTGTTCTTCCCTTCTTCATGCATATTTTACAATTTTCTATTTTTCTTCAACACAAAGTATTCATTTAACTTCAACTCAAACTATTTTTAATCAACAAAAAATATTCATTCAATTTTTGTATATAAAGTTCCCGGACATTCCTAATGTCTATTCAACAAAAACTGCCCGTCCCCTCCCAAATTCGGTGAAAATGGTTTGAATATTAGAATGAATGTTTGTGTTGAAGAAAGATAGTTTGAGTTGAAGTTGAATGAATATTTGAGTTGAATGAAAGTATATGGCGTTGAAGTTGAATGAATATTTATTTGTTGAATATAAATATAAATCCTTGATTGAAAATATAAAGTGCTTGAATTTTGCTACAAGCGGCTAACCATATTAAACAGCCAAACAAAAGCGCGCATATGCATTTCAAATTTTCAAATTAGCAGTTAGCAATGTTGCGCGATCATGTTGCGATGTGAACTTAACGATAGCTCACATTCTTGACCTCAGTGCTTACTTTTAAAAGTGCTTACAGGTTTGGAAATGCGCACATGCGCAGAAGAGCTCTGGGTCGAGATTGGATAGCTCAGTGTGTACTGTGTAGGCTTTTGTACATTATGCTAGAATTTTTTCGAGCATTTTATGAGGCAAAAGCATTGAGCATTATTCGAGCATTTTAGTGGCATTTTCCCTGGAAAATTAATTTTTTCCGAGAAAATAAAATAGAAATTAACTTTTTTCAGGAGCCCATGCCCCATGAGCTCCTGCTTTTTTAAAGAAAATGAAGACTAAAAATCAAATTTCACAAAAAACTTAATACAGCTGTTTCTTTTGGCTGTATTTATGAACTTGTACACGTTGTCGTTGTTACTTGCAACACTTGCACGTTTTTGTGAGTGTAAACTTTAAAATTAATTTTAAAAACCGTTTGTATAATGAGCATTATCCTAGCATTTCAGTGACTTTTTTGGGGAAACCGAGCATTTTAGTGGGAAAAATGGAGCATTAAGGTTGAGCATTTTAGTGGGGAAGAAAAAGCATAATGTACAAAAGCCTAGTACTGTGTGTGTATGGGGATTAACTGATGAGTGGACCAACTACCGTAAAATTCCGAAAATATGCCCCGGGGCTTATATTTTTCAAAGGCCCTTTTTAAGGGGCTTATATTTGGAGGGGCTTATACATGGAGGGGCTTATTTTCGGAATTTTACGGTGTGTTAGTCTAAGAAACATATGTACTTATACTGAGTAGTCCATCTACTACTATATATGTACATATTTGTTTTTTATTATTTAAATATTTATTCGAAGTTTACTTTTAAAACTCGAGTATAGTTAATTAAAACTGTTTTAGGAGTATACTCATTAACGATTTAAGATTAAAGGTAGATCAGGAGGGAGTTACTCTGCACTGATCAGTGTTGGCTTTCAAGTATTGCACGTTCAGATTGGTACGATGTCCGCGTTTGGGACGCGGTCAGTTTGCAGTATCCTTGCGTGACACAACATTTGTGTGATAACCATCCCATCGGTAGCCTGCAGGCGTTTTCTTTTAGCGCGCAATTTGCTCGCGAAAGCGCCATGTTGAAACTTCCCGAGGAGAGGAGGAGATGGGGCAAGTCAAAGGGAGCGGGGAGGGGGCGAGGAGAGAGAAGAGAAAGTATTTTTTTTTCTCCCCTTCCCCTCCCCCGTTTCCTTCTTTCGCCTTCGCACCTACCCTAACTAAACACCGCGGCAAAACGCACTGCGCATGAGCACAAGATTTAACATCCGGTCAGCTTTTTATTTCCGGTCTAGTATATAAACCAATAGCGTAAGCATAACTTTGCCGTCGCGCCAAGTTTAAAAGCAAAAAGGGCGAAACAGACAAAAAAGGGGGCCCAAAAAATCACTTCATTCGAAAGCTTATATATTTTTCTATTCTCAAACTTTTGCACCACATGGTTATCTGTTTGCACCAACGGTGAAAATCATGTTTGAAGTTCGCAGTAGCTCGCGAGCGCTCGACAAGACGAATTTGTTTTTACTGGCTTTCTTGCATGCTACTGGTTTGGCATAAGTTAATTTGGGAGAAGGCGACAACTAAGAAAAGAATAACAATACTTATGAAAGAAACCAAAATAAAGACGTCATCATTATCATAAATAAACTAAAACCAGGAAATAAAATTTTAGTCCGTTCAATAATTTGTGAAAACAAGAACTCAAAACAAAAGATGGGCGGGATTTAATAACAACTTTGACTTTGATGACTGCAGTCACCGGGAAACTAGACATGCCTATAAATGACTTTCATTGAAGAAAATGCCTATTTAATTCTTTTACATGGTTGTTCTTTTGTTGAAGACTTCAATAATTTCAGACTGTGCGGCTCGGCTGCATCTCATGCAAACACGAAACTTCTAGCTGCTAAATACAAGGCATGAAAAGTTCGACTTCTAAAAGCCACTGAACCAGCTTTCGCTCTCTGATTCTGAGAATGAAAAAATAAATAAATAGAGTTGTCAACTTGCTGCCAACCGGCTCAACAGTATAATTAAGCTTATGTTTCATGGCAATCAACCCAGAAGAGTTTCGTTTTAAAACACGGTAAAACCCACTGGTAAACAAAACTACAAAGCGATTGTGTGTTGTCGTTTTCCAAATAAAGTTTGAATCGGCTTTAACACATGTAGACTGAGAAACTGAAGAACTGAAAATTAGAACTACAATACACAAGCTTGCAATGATAACGTTTTAATTTTATGTCTTAGTTTCAGCCAGGTTAAGTGAAAAATAACAGTCAAAAACTTTATTTTCGTGAATGAAAATCAGTTTACCTGACGCTCTAGCCAAAATTACACACTGAGTTATTATCATCTTACCTTTTCTGAATCTAATCGACTAATTGTTTCAGTGATCTGTGCCTGGTTATCCATAAAAGCAATTTCAATAAGTACAAAATAGTCAAAAACACGAGCAGCATAAAGCAGAACAACTGAACCACAAGCTGCACACAGAAGCCGAGAGAGCGCAGGAGACTTTGATCTGACTGGAAAGTGTGACTGAAAAAGAGACCGGAAATACTCAACCTGGCGCATGCGTAGACGTTTTGCCGCGGTGTTCCCTAACTAAGGGTTATTATTTCTACTCTCCCCAATCTTCCGCTGTCATAAAATCAAAGATGGCGGCTACAACAATATCACGAACACGAACAAGGTTTCGCCTACCCAAAATACGCCTGCACTGCAGGCTAGCCATCGGAGATTGCAGACTTGATAAAATTCAGTGCTTATCTTAAGCCTTTTTCCCAAATCAAAGTTAACGAAGCCGCTATTTTTCCCCTCTTTTTTTGAAACTGTTTTGCCCAAAATTGGAAAATTAGTGAAAGTTCGAAGTGATCGTTTCCCATGTGCCTCTTTGAGCTGACAAGGAGGTCACATGGCTCACTTCTTTGCTTACTCACGCTTTCAAAGGCGTTGAATGTACACTGTGAATTTTTAGCTCCAAATTCCAATACTCTCTGGTTCCTGGAGGAAAGCAAGATGCCAGGAGAAAAAGCCGTTTGCGTTCTGTTGCCCAATGGTAGCGATGTTAAAGGAACCATCCATTTTGAGGAGGTAAGAGAATTTCTAAATGTTGCTGAAAAGCTACACGTTTGGTAGCAAATAACCATATTGAATGTGTTGCGTTTCATAAAGTCATTATATCTCTACTTGACCCTCAAAGTGTTCTTGTAGATAGTGTCTCGCCAGTAAATTATGAGGTAATGAATTATGACTTTAATTTAGTTTCGTCCACTTTCTAATGTTGGCTTATGAACATTCACAGGGCATTTGGGTGCCTTGTCATTCTTGGGGTAGGGCATAGCAAAGTTTGTGCGACCCAGCGGTCACCTCAGGATAAAGCATAGAGCATGCATGCCAGTGGGACCTGACAGATCCCTGAGCAACAATCACACAACACTCATGGGAGTGATCAGATAGTTGTGAAAACAAACAAAAAAACAAACAAACCCAAAGTCTTTCTGTAATAAAAGGATCACACAGATCTACTGAGTTGTTGTGTTGATCGGTGTGGGTTGTTGTGGGTCTGTTTGGCTAGTTCCTTGTCTTAGTAACTACAGGAGAGGTTATTTGGCAGTTGGGATGTATTTTCCATGGAGAGGTTCCGGGCCGTTGTAAAGATGTTAAAACAAGAGTGAATGTTTAGGGAATCCCTTTCAGGACAAAGTACTGTAGCCGTTGTGGAGAGGTTAGAGGTTAGAGGTTCGACTGTATTAACCCTTTAAGCCCTAACATCAAAATTCAAATCCCCATTCGCTGTCCCTTTATGTTTCCTGTAAAAGAAGTGGCAAGAAGTTGTTGAAGTATCAACTCATTGTATTGTGTGATCATCTCCTTAATTCTCATCACCAATCTGTTTTATAAAGTATTGAAATCACAAGGAGAATTTTGATACGGATCACACTGAAAGGGTTAAGATACTTTTATGGGGACAGTGCTGAAAACATTGCTAAAAAAACATTTGCATTCTTCTAGTCTTATCATGATTATTCAACTCACCAACTTCATCAATTATAGGTGAACTCTGCTGGGGTTGAATTCCTAAGAACCATATGAAGGGAGAGAGAAAGAAAATTTTGTCATTTACATCCTCCATAAAACATGAAATTAGCCATTTTCATGATGAAGTCATGCAGAGACAGCACAGAAATGTACAAGAATAATGTGCTGCACGTGCAAGGTTTCTGAGTTTTCTTTTTGTTTTCCTGATGTTCTCATTGCTGTTGTCATAGTGATGTCCTGAACTCCCTATTTTTATTATTCCACTGCTTTTTCTAGTTAAACCTGAACAATGTTGTTGTGTCGATTTCTCCAGGTTGTTTAAACATGATTTCTACCTCTTGGTCTTTTAGAATGACCACATCTTTCACAAAGTGCAGATAAAATGCACCTTTAACTTTCCAGTAATACAATATCTTTTTCACTGCAGAAAGAGGGCCAGTGTCGGATATATGGAGAAGTGACTGGCCTTACCCCTGGAAAACATGGCTTTCATGTTCATCAATTTGGTGATGGCACAAATGGTATGTATCTCAAGGAAATCGCCTCTTTTCAAAGAAAACAGAAAAGCAAAAAAGGAGGGATTTTAACTTTCATGGTGTGCTGAACCATTTAACTTCAACATTCAATTTATTGTTGGGACTTAAGGTAGTTCTTTCTCTTGATTTGGAGGAAATTCTATGGTCTCAGCTTTCAAATCAAACCTCTTCAGCTGTACTCTAACATGATACTATTTCTGTAGTGGATGATCTGTGGTTTGACCATTCAAATGAAACCTTCTCATAATTTCTTTCCCGTGGTAATATTAATTTTTTCTTTAAGTAAAGGTGCATTTTGAGCCATAAGACCAATGCAGGTAGAGCTTATAATGGTTTAGTAGCAAGATGCACCTAGGAGTATTGGTACTCTCCCCTCTCCAACCTTCCCCCCTCCTCTTGAACCTAGACTAAAAGATCTGAAGCCAGATATTTCAGACTAAAAGATCTGAAGCCAGATATATGGTCAAGTTGTTCTTTCTTTGGAACATTAATAGAACTAATTATATCATGACAAAAAAATTAACTGTGTGGTATAAAAAATAATCATTGTGTAGTTCCAGAAAATATCCAGACCCCCACCACGGAGGGAATTGGAAATTCCAGGGGGGTGGGGGGGTCAGAGGCCCAGGAAATTCCCGAAGGAAGGGGGGTTGGACCATAAAATCACTTTCTAGGGGGGCAATATCATTTCGTTTTCGACCTGAGTTTGAACATTGCTTCTTACCGACCTGGTAGATCATTTTTAGGACATAAATAACTTGAAATATATGACTTAAGATTGTTCCTTTTGATCTTAACCAGGTTTCCTTTCTTCCAAAAGCGTTTTGGATGTAATTTCAAAGGAATTAGACCGACTACAACTAGTTTTATCGCATGCTCGTATATACGGCCGCCATTACTCGTTACCAGTCTTCCTCAAAACATCAACGCGTGCAACACATCACGCAACACATCACGTTGCGTCAGTCGATTGATAGATCAGAAGAGTGGCAATTTTGCTTCACAAGGCACAAGCTATGCATTGTAACCATTTTAGAATGTTGAGTTTTTATTCTCCTTTTCATTTTCCCTTAATTTTGTGGTTGAACGTGTCGCATCTTCATGATCGAATTCTCGCTAAAATGGTGTCGATTTCACCAAACATTTATACGGCCATCGCGCATCACGTCGCATCAGTCGATCGAAAAACAGTAAATTGAACTTGGTTTCCCTTCAAGTACCTTCAAGATGCAGGGGGTATTCATTGTTATCATTTCAGAATTCAGAGTTTTTATTCTCCTCTTTGTTTTGCATTAATTTTGTGGTCGTAAGTTTGACTTGTTCTGCATTCCCGCACGAAATGGCGTTAATTCTATCAACATTACGCCCATGAGACGAATAACAAATCGTAAGCTTGCCCTGATTAAGGTAAATTCACAAATATAACCGACTTATTAACTTTCTCTCTTTCATTTAAAGTAAGAGATGAGCAACAATTACAGATCAGGTTACTTTGTGGTGGTGTAGTGTGTTTTAATGTTGCAAGATCACTCAAATAAATGGAAACAGAAGCATACAAGCTTCTGATGGAAACCGTTGGGTACTAACCATAAGTTGCCTCATTCTTCTACTTTAATAGTCTTTCTTCGTGAAAATGAACTTTTCCAGAGGGGTTGGGGGGTCTTTGTCACACTTGTGGAAATTCCGAAGGGGTGGGGGGTCATCAGTTCCCTGCAAAAATGGAAAATCCAGGGAGGTGGGGGGGTCCTAAGTGAAATTCCCTCCGTGGTGGGGGTCTGGATATTTTCTGGAACTACACATTCTCATTATAACTTTTTTGTTTTTCAGGCTGTACAAGTGCTGGCCCTCATTTTAATCCTGAGGGCAAATTGCATGGAGGTCCAGGAGATGAAGAACGGTAACATTCTGTTTGTTTTTGAGCAATAAAATTATTTTGCTTTTTGGCCATATTTAAAGTATCTCCAACACGTAACCTTTTTCATTATGCTGTTACGAACTAAATTTTGTTGTTTGTAGGTAAAGTAGCAGGTCACATTAATGTCCTGAACTTTAGTAGTATGTGTATGGTATTAATTCTGGTTGACTCCCATCTTACTATTTTGGTTTGTGCAGTCATTATGGAGACCTTGGTAACATCACTGCAGATGAGAAAGGTGTTGCAAAAGTTGACATAACTGACAAACTTGTGTCTATTGTTGGAAAGGACTCAGTTGTTGGACGCACTATAGTGGTAAGCTAAACATCAAACTTTCACATAATAACTTATCCGCATTGTGGAAGCTAATTCTTTTCTAAACATTTACATACTTTAATTACTTGCTGGGCAAAATACAATCCCAGAAAGTTTTTAGTGGCTTTGCTAAATGCTGGTTTTCAATGGGTAATTTTTGAAGCAAATGATAATTTTATTACTGCTTTGGGGTTTTTACACCATTAGTCATCTAGAGAACACTGTATTTTTGTGCAAGTGAAAAATCTTGGCAGTGGCGTTATTCCTACAAGTATTTTCTTTAAGATAAACATTATCTGCATGCATGTTTATAGCACAAGCTTAAACAACGAAAAACTTGTGGTTTGAACAGTAATTGTTGACATTGACATTAATTCAACCAGTCAAATTTTTATTTTCCTCTGCCTATTAATTTGGTTTAAAAAAATGAATTGGAATATAAATGGAGGAATATATATAAGCATGGCCAAGTGGTTAGGGTGCTAGACTTACAATCCTGAGGCCCTGATTTCAAGTTCCCTGTGACTGCTTGTGGGATTTGTTTGATCTAGCCTTGTCTCTGGTTCAACTGCCATTAAGCCACATTTTCTAAATAGTCCACTAGCCTAGCTTTGTCCTGTACTTAAATTAGTACTTGCTAGCCTTTGTGCTGTGCTTACTACCAAGTACTGATCAGAAATCCTTATCACTATTAAGCTATTTTCTTCATTGGTAGCTTCTACTGCTATTTTCCTTTTATGTTGCTTGTGCCCATCATACCTAGGAAACTCCTTTGCTCATGCAGACTTTTAGTTCATTCGCACAAATTATAGAACTGCCAGTAAAAAACTCCACTATAGTCAAGATATGCATGTTAATTTGTCCATTAATTTTAACCCTGTCATCAGGTTCATGCAAAGGAAGATGATTTAGGGAAAGGTGGTGATGTAGAAAGCACAAAGACAGGGAATGCAGGTGCACGATTTGCCTGTGGTGTGATTGGTATCACCAAGTAATTAGCGCTACTGACTGTGGACTGACTCAGGACCTTGTAGTTCATGTCGAGGGCTCAAAGCCTTCAGGCTCAAAGTCTGTAGTAAAAAAGCTAAGAAATACCAATAAAGTTGATTTTTTCATTTCAGTTGTTTTGGTGCTGAGAAAATGGTTCAGTTTACTTTGCCCCTGAATGTGAATTTGATTCTTAGATGGTATCTTTTATTTTTTTTATTTTTTTACAAATTTAAGTTATAAACACCATGGAACCCTATTGTGAACTGTCAGAGTGCCCTACATCTGGGAAATTCTTTTTGAAAATTGACATTTTTTGTCAAAGGCTTTTTCTTTACTACACCTTCACTTTGTTGGCCCTAGCAGAACTTTGTTGAAAAAGCCTGTTGCTGTATTGCCAAAGGGTTATGTGGTTCATCTACATATTGAGAGAAGTCCATTTAATGTGAAGGTTTGAGCCTAGGAGTCAATTTCATTTCTGGGTGAGCGTAGTCCTGAACAAGACTTTTTTTGACAGTGTCTGTTGGGTTATGTTAGTCACGTTTGATGTCCTGCAAAGCTACTTTCTCCTTTGCCATAGTAAGAGTTATATTACCAGGACCAGAAAAATAGGGGGGGGGGGGATAAATTTTAGGGTTTTGCACCCCAACTCCCTGTTTTTGAAACAGGTAGTTTTGCTGAGATTCTTTGTTTGGTTATTAAGGGTCTAAAGCAAAATTTAATAAAAAATTGGAAAAAAGAAAAGAGCAGATATTATTAAAGCGGGGTCTTCACTCGTATAGCAAAAAAGGTATAGCACAGGTGCCCGTAAATGAAGTAATAACCTTCAGCACCCAAAAGCACCGGTATCGAGGCGACCAGTTTGTTTGCCGGAATATATTTCCTGAAAGGGCGAACAAAAACCTATTGTGCTTTATTTTCACCCCTTAGTTTATCATATGGCACGGGCAGTGTGTTTCTTAGCGGGATCTGTCCAAGGATCGTTAACATTTTCACAAGAGGTATGGTAAGCTTCAAGTGTTCGTACGTCTTAATTGATACCATATTTATATTCATAAAATAATAAAGCGCCCAGAAGCCATTTAGCTTAAGCTCCTCCGAGCTTGTTAATGGCTTCCGCAGCTTTTTTGAAGTCGGTGTTAGCGGCCTTTCCTTGTGCGCTCAAAAGGCAATGAAAATAGTGTTTTGTGTAAATTTGGCGCCTTTGAAATTGAAGCGAAAATGGCGCGCGCGGACAGTTCAGATAAAATTACATGCTAATAAGCTTATTCTGGTCCATTTCAGGTTTGTTTACGTTAATCGCCAGACAATTGTAATGAAAAACTAGAAATCAAGAAAAATAAGGGGCGTTTCGAGTTTGTCTGTATAATAGAAGGGGCGTAGTGTGAAGAGTTGAAGGTGTACCTACTAAAAGAAAGGCTAGTCCTCCGAAGGTACCTTAAACAAGTGGGGTGTGGGGCATGCTCCCGTAGAAAAATTTTCAAATTTAAGGGCTCAGAAATGGCATTTCCTGCGTTTTCCGCCGGACATAATTTTTAGAAAATAAATAATGAAGAAAAAGGCAATATTTAGTTGTGTATTTTACATCTCTAGTTTTATCGGTAAGGTAAAACAGCTAGTGATGCCCTCAAGAAGGTTACAAGCAAAGGGCGAGATGTCTGCCCTTCAGATGGGCAAATAAACCAAAATAATGAGATTGGTTTATCAATCATCTTGCTTTAATGATAAAAGTGCTCTCAGGAAATGTGAAATAAACCTTATTCTCACTTAATTTTACGAACAATCGTGAGCCATATTTTGTGAGTATTTAATTTCGCGATTTTTAGGGTTTATTTTAAGAGAATTTTAAGGGGTTTTTTAGATTTCGCAAGTTTGAAACAAAAAAGCCCTCCCCCAGGGGGGAGGCTTAATCAGTAGAGGATTTACAGTAATTAGTAATTATTGTGATATTCTGTTTGATTCACACAAACTTGAATGAATTGGCTACCTCAAAATGTAGTCCTCAATGTTTGGTTGGAATTTCTTGGAAAAAAAAAAAGACCTAATAATATAATCTTCACCACAAGATAATGTTTCAGGATTTTTGACTTCTTGGTGTGGGTGGGGTAAGTTTTTATGGATTGTGAGCTAGTGCAAAACCTAAACAAAATTTGTAGGTTTTATAACTGCAGTCTGATGTTGACAATTTTTCTGAAGTACAGAGGGTGAAGCTGGAAATTTTTCAAAGGGTTAGGTGGGAAATTAAAATCAGAGGGGATGCATGAAATGAACTGTTATCTTTTTCTGATATGTTCATGACTTTCTTTCAGTACCCAGGTGGAGCTTGTGAAATCAAAGGAACATTACATGGACTGACAGAAGGAAAACATGGCATTCATATTCTTGAGTTTGGAGATATTTCACAAGGTTCAATAATACATGACTCTTCGTCCTTAACAGTTAATTAGCTAGCAACCCCCTCTGTGAATTTAGGGATTAACAAAAGCTGGATTGGACCTGATCGAAATAACCCCTGTAACTCACTAAATGACAAAAGGTTATAAAAAGGGTCTCGGCAGGGGTTGATTGGATCCGGTCCAATTCAGGCTTTGTGAACAGCCATAAAGTTGACACCCACTATGAGATTTTGTAAATTTGGTTACAGTAAATATTAATTTTGGAAAAAAAAAAAAACATTCTACATCATTCATCTAGGAGTGGGGTATACTCCCTTATATAAGTTGCCATTGACGGTTTGCAACTGCTTGACAAGGCAGCCAATTTTTTCTCAGAAATGATTTGCATGAGAATCTTATTTTATGCCCAGTGAACTGAAATGCTTTTCTTCTTGTCAACTAACGTGACTTCTGTGATGTCAATTGCAAATCAGTAAAATTATATAGGCTCATGTATGTGTGACCCCAAAAGGTATGGTTGTCCTCTTTTTGTTCTGAAACTGGGTGATACATTGTTTCAGCCATAAGCCTAAAATGGGTAAGGTTGCATGCTTGCTGGAACCACACAGCTGCAAACATTTTGGTCAGTAGACTATGTCTGTCTAAAATTGGCTCATGTCTGACAAAATTTGCTAAACTGGCTAAATCTTTTAGATCATGTGTCTTAAAGGGGGTGTAGACTGACATATTGGCCAATATCTTGGTCAACTGTCAGTCAGCATATTGGACGCTATATCGGTTGAGTGTCAGCCCTGGACTTGACCTGTAGTCAGTAGAGCCCTACAGTCTGTTGGTCAACAGTCAGTTGATAGTCAGTCAATACTTCACCAAGGTTCACCTCATCCAACTGTTGTTGGACAAGTCAGCTGATATATCGATTGACTATTGACTGACTCTCAACCTAAGTGATTACAGGGGCCCAGTGCTATACTCCTAGGAAATCCGGATCATATGTCTTACAGGGGGTGTCGATTGATGTATCAGCTGATATCTTTTCAGTCAACATATCAGTTGCTATATTGGTCAAGTGTCAGTCGAGACTTGGCCGAGTAGTGTTATACTTTTGGTTGAGTATCGGTTGACAATAGGTTGACAGATCGACCGTCACGTAGTTGTGATAGCATTGGTAGTGTGTTGGCAATGTATCAGTGAACTGTTGGTTGAGTATTGGTGAGGTATCGCTGGTCTATCAGTTGACAATCAGGATTGCCTGTACAACTTTTTTCCAGCTGCTGTCATAGTCATTGATTTTATTTACATCCCACACATTGTGAAAAGTTTTCATTGGCATCTTTTACTCCATAGGAGGTATTAGTGCTGGTGCGCACTTTAATCCACTGAGTAAAAGCCATGGAGCCCCTGAAGATGAAGACAGGTATGATCAAAGTCTCATGTAAAGGTCATTTGCAATTTCCTTTTCTGATAGTCAATTAGTTTGTGACCATACAGTGTTCTAAGTGAAAAGACTACAGCTCATGAGATTTATGTATCTTTTAAATACATGTGTTATGATACCATAATTTATGTTATTTTTGGCTTGCATGTGACTTCATTTATTTTGGCTGGTGTATGACCTCTGGCTGCACAGCATCATCCTAACAGTCCCTTTGGCTGATCATCTTTTCTTTCAGAGTGTTGAATTGGCAAGAATGCAAGTTCTTTGGCAATTATATTTTTCTTGTCGTTGTAGACATGCTGGTGACCTGGGCAACATCGAAGCAGATAGTGAAGGCCAGGCAGAAGTAACCATCACTGATTATGTGGTGTCATTAATGGGAGAATATTCAGTGATTGGGCGCACTTTGGAGGTTTGTAAACATATCACTGATTCCTTGCCAAGTGAGAGCTCGAGGCCAGAGCAAAAGTTAGGTTATTTTGGCGGAATTTGCTTGACACGTGGAATTCACATGGTTTGCTTAGCAAGCTAGAAACTTGAGTTAGCTATATGTGTATATATTTATACATGTTTATAGAGTGATTGTAATAGCTAACTTGAATTTCTAGCTTGCTATTAGCAATCCATTTGCATTAATATTACACGTATTCCATGTATATCAGAGAAAAAATTACTAGTACATCAGATAGGCCTCCACAGTCAGTGACGAATCCATGAGTAAAAAAAAACTGTGACAAACTTGGCCCAGTTTATTTTTTTCAAATATCTTTGCAGCATAATAATATTATACATAAACCTTTTAAGTTTGTCATAGAGCAGCTCCTCAAAAAAAACACATAACAAGCTAGCCCACAATTACAATTATTGTAAGCTTATCACCCACATTTTCAGTCATTATTGAAACACTTGCGAACTTCTTCTCCTCTTCTCCTTCAATGTTGATTTGGATTGCCCAAGCAAATGCAAAAAACTTCCATTGGGGGGTAGAGAGGGAAGTAATTTGTGTATTCATAGAATGACTTAGTTTATAGGTTTATCTCACACAAAAACTGAATCTTATTAATCCTGCAGTTTCTACCCACTGAAGTCAGAGCGGACTTTCAAAACTGTAACTTAAGTTTGAGTCCAAGGACACATTATTTTAGAAATGAAGAGTCAGCCTTTGGTTTTCTCTACAGGTTTGTGAAGGAGTAGATGATCTTGGAAGAGGAGGGCATGAGCTGAGTCTAACAACAGGAAATTCAGGGGCTTGTTTAGCATGTGGTGTCATTGGCATTGGCAAATGTGGAGGAAATATAAACTCCCTACAAAACAGTTCTACTGCAATTCATGATTCCTCTCAAAATAGTTTAAGTGATGCTTTTTGAGTCCTGTGATATAACATCACTAAAAACATGGAGTTACACTGTAAGAACTTACACTGTAAGCAGTTCTGAGCCCACCCTGCTATTTAGTGGAGTCTCATTTTGTCATCTCGAGCAGGGAGGAAAAAAGGGAGGTTCTTCCTGAATTGCACCAAATCCTTTGAGCTTTCAGCAGCTCAAATTTCTGGACTAGCCAATCTCGTTTACTTGCGTCAAACTAGTTTTGTGAGTGCGAGCAGCAAGCACATGGCTATTAGGCCTGGGTTTGAAAGTCTAACCAAGCAACATGCCACACATGCTTAGAAAAGATTTTATATGTACTTGATTTATGCAGAGTCTTGCTTGAGTACACCAAAATCACGCATGTGAAAGAAAGGTTCTGGTAGGAGCTGAGGGTGAGCTGAACCAGCAATGCTTGCATGGAACTCAATGATGATGTACTTCTGTTTTGGGGGAACTAGGAAATCTCTCAGAAGGAATTCCATAAAAAGGGGACAAGGATGCTCTTCATCCCGCTTAGGGGTGTAAATTGCAAATTTTGTCTGACTTAGGGTGTTCAAGACAAAAAGCCAATGTTTTTACCCATATACTGGTACATGTATTGCTTGGTGTTCTGTGCAAAGCAATATCTGTATAAACAAATACTGTCGTACTGTGTTTAAGACAACACTAACATGATGTCGACATCTTTAGTGCTGTTTAAACCACTATTTATTTGGTTGTCTGTTTAAGTATTGTCTCTTTTTAGGGACCAAATAAAGTTTGAGCCACACCCAAATTGGTCTCTTTTGGGGGATTGATTTTAATTTTCGGCCAATCATCCCCGTCTCTTTCACATGGGAGTGCCAGGTACCTCGCTGGGAAAATCTTATCTTTACACAGCACCCAAAATTGAGCACCCTGAAAACAGGGCTTGGAACTTTTTCCCTTCCCCCTCCCTGAATATTTTCTGACAGTGTAGCTTTTCTTACTAGCAAGGTTTTTTGCTGGTGCTAATGTTAATATCAATTGAATATTTATTTGACAGGATGCTGTAAGTGTCGCTTGTCACAATTATTTTTAACGTGTATATACTAATATTCCTTGGTAACTTGTGGCAATTCATTGTAGATTTTTATATGGACTAAGAAAGACTTCTGCTTTCATATCAGTTAAGTAAGCAACGTATGCAGTAGCCATGTTTTTTTAACAGTTGTAGAAATAAGTTAAATCTTCATATTTATATGCATGTTTGTACAGCTTTATTTATGTTGGAGTAGTTTTAACTTGCATCACGATTTGTATTAAAATGTGATAGGTTGTCACAGAAATGAAAAAATATAGAAATAAAACATCTGATTTTACTATGATTGTATCATTCGATGTGTGTATGGTACAATAAAATTCCTCTAATGTTGTGACCACCCATTTTATTTGTGGTTTCTTGGACACTGGAATAAGGCGGCCGTACTGTATGAGTCTAGCCACCTCTGTCAGCCTGGCCTCTGATGGCCATCTTTATAGGTGATTTAATTTCCGAGTTGCCCCAAACCTGCATTTTAAAGTGAGGCTAAGTGTGAAGCCGTTGATACAGTCAAACCTCTACTAACAGCCCTCTCTCCACAATGGCCACCACTATACATTGGCCACTTCTTTTGGTGGACAGTCTATACATTCACTCCTGTTTAAACATCTCTACAACAGCCGCTTTCTTCTGTCCCCAAAATAGCTGTTGTGGAGAGGTTCAACTGTATGAAAATGATTGTTTATTATTATGCAAATAAAACTCATTTTTGCATGAAAGGTTTTGCACTTAGCCTCGGTTTGACAGTGAGAGTTTAAGTAACTGGGAAATGGCCCACTGAAAAAGGGGCCTGTCCAGGCTTCTTTAGGATCCCCTATGTAATATCTACCTTGCTATAATTTTTTTTGTAACAATTGCCATTAATTTAATTCCTTAGGATTTAAATAGCAAATAAAATACTTCAAAATGTAAGGACCCACTTAAACTGAGATTATTTCCAAAATTTTGAATTTTGGAGAGGAAATAAGAATATACTAGAAAAAAGTCTTCACAGCAGGATGAAAACATTTCAGAAATACTTCAAGTTTTGCATGAATTTCTGAGTTTCACAGATAAGACCAGTAACAGGAAAGTTTTTTTCCCCTTTGTAATCACTATAACATCAAAGGTAGACACTTGTTAGAAAGCACAGGATTTGCGACACCCCTTCCCCCCTCCCCCAGAAATATTAATTTAGCAGTGGCTAACATTTCCGGGCACTAGTTCCAGTCAAAAATTAATAGAAGAATAGTTATGAAAGATGCACACTTAAATCTATATCAAATCTAGAAACTGATGGAAATCACCTGAGGCAGGAGCCGATTACTTAATTGGCTCCTGCCTGAGGTATGTGTATTTGGGGCCAGCTTGGCAGCTGTCAAGGAAAGTCAAAGAAAAAGGCTGGCAAAGACTAGGTTAAGCTCTACATTTAAGCAAGGTGTCTGTCTTATAGCGAAGACTATCAACTAAGAGTTCAACGTAGGTAATTTCATTATGTTAATTACTATTCACACTTCTGACCTTACTGTTTTTTAGTATTTCTCCTTAAATTCTGCAGTCCATTCCATTCCTTTTGTTCTACAGGTGCGAGGGGAGCCTGAGTACCAGTACCTACAAAGTACCCACAATCCATTTAAGCAGTCTGTGTATTTGATACGACTTGATGTGATTTTCGTTGCTACACAAAGTTCTTTACAATTTTTAAATCGTAAAGGAAACTATAAGCCGAGAGAAAATGACATCACAGTATAGGGTTTGTAATAATTGAACTACCGGTTGCATAAAAAAGTTAATAACGGGATCTTTCTGTCGCTAATTTTGACCTTCCTCTTTGAAGGTGGCTGATTCAAAACGTGAGGAGTTCAGAAAGTACTTGGAAAAGGCGGGAGTTATGGATGCCTTGACGAAAGGTAACTTGGTGTTATTAAGCACATAGACAAACTTGGATTGTACGGCGTTTTACTTAAGTGTTAATGTTTTGTGTCGACAGTTTTGGTCAATCTGTATGAGGAGCCTGAGAAACCAGCCAATGCATTGGAGTATCCTTTTGAGGTTGTAGTAATTTGAAGCCCGCTTGAATATTAAGCTTAAGCTTAACTAATCCATAAGGTTAAATTCTCGCAGATATAACAGCTGACAAACCAGAGACAAGTTGGAGGGTTTGCTACCATAACCTTTACTCTTAACCCTACTATGCATTCCGTCTAACTTGGCTATGAGTTGTATTAACTGCAGTCTCAATAGAAACTGTTGGGACACTTTGCTGTCTTCTTGCCATGTTGGTGTGCAAGATTTGGTGAGTTAACTGCGATAAACTGCATTGGGAGGACGAGGAGATGGGCCAGAGGCAAAAAAAATACAGGCATTGGGTGGAAGTGTCCCAACTATTTTTGTCTGAGACTGTAGCATACCTAGATATTTACACAAATTGAAGCTTTGTTTATGGTGGAAAGTGTGCTTGGCTTATCCAGCTAGTTTACAGGCACTCCACTCAAGTAATAAAAAACAATAATTCAGATAGTATATGACAGGATTAAAAAACTCAATTGACAGAAGGCAACCAGTTGGTTATTTATAAAAAGAGTGGCTGGGGGGTTGAACTTTGTGGTGAAATATTTGTTTATTATTCAAGTGTGAAATTTTATGGCTGGCTTAGATGCCATAGTTCATATGAGCCAAATCATTTGAATTTAGGCCTGCTGAATTGATTTAAAAACAATTATAGCATTTGGTTTGGCTCATATGAAGTTTGACGCCTGATTTAACCCCAGTCCACAGCCATCATTCTCCAGCTCATTGCCGAGCACAAAATATTTTTGGAGTTAGGTTAATATGTTATCAAAGCCGTCAGAAACAAAAACCTTTCGAAAGGAAGCTAGCTTCAAATTTTAAGAAAGTTCCATAGGAAATTTTGATTGCCTTCAGTAAGGCCCTTTTAGGGTCAAATTCTGACAAGCATCATGGCCTTGACTACTGGTAGATGGAATGGTGATATACAACATATAGGTTCAGGGTTCTCAATAGAATTAGGTGCAGTCGTTGCTGTGCTTAACTTACAGGTGTGACAAATGGTATGCCCCAAATACTGCCCCCAACCCCCTAGCCCATGGCTCAGCTGAGCAGATATCAAGCCCTGCACATTTGTATGTTTGGAGCCCGCAATCCTAATATCAAGGTTGTTATTACGCATGCGTTGCATGTATGTAGCCAGCATTCATTTGGACTTCCACTAAGAGTGAAAGTAATGCACAGAATGCAATTTGATCACACACGTTTGAACCTTCTTTCACTCGCAATCTAATCCCATGTGTTTGGACTATCTGTCACTTGAAACTTGCGCAAAGCACAATGAAGGAGAAAAAGCGTTTTGACCTTCTATCGTTGTCACCTGTACTCCGTAACCTTTGGTTATTACTAGTTCTTAATATTCTTGATGATCTATTGATTGTACTTAGTGTGGGTAGAATCCTAGTATATTGTTTTTGGAGTTGATAATTGATTGAATTGCCATCGCATTTTGACTTTTTAAAGTCTTTTCTTTACTGTAAGGTCATCTTTAGACTTTATAGTTTAAAGTAATGAGTCTTGTTTGAGATTGTCATGACTTAACAATGTGCTACAAGCTTTATGAAAGAACATCTTCATGGTGGTCCACCAGAGACAGCTGACATTGAAGCCTTAAAAAATGAAGTTTCTGATTTAAGGCAGAAGGTCGAGCAGCTGACAGCAGAAAATACAGAGCTAAAACAAAGGGTAGGTATGAAAATTTGTTAAAGTTTCTCTCAGGCCCTCTATACATGTTTGTCAGCAATTATGCAAGGCTAAATGATTGGCCCACATTCCTGTGGTAAACTTTACAATAAAATATTGTTCGTTGTTGTTTTGAAAACCTTGCATATAACAGTGTTGCAGTCTAATTGACTGAATGTCGGAGTTGACAGGGTTTGCTTTATCATCTAGGAACTGTTTCTTAGTACATAGTGCATTAAATGCCTTTAAGGAAGGCTGTTCAAAGATAAACTCTTTTAACAAACCATATGATACAGTGATGTAAAACTATCAAAATTCTGGATCATCAAGATAGAAATTAAACTTTCAAGGTATCCGAAACATTTTCAGAACTTAATATTGTTTTTTAAATAATTTTTGTACATTATGTGAACTTGCATACAACATAAATGACAGTCTCTATAATATCTGAATTTATTGTATACAACATCACAGGATCATGAGCAAATCAGAGGTGAACCATGACAGGCATTTAAATCAGGCTGCCACATAAATGGAATTTGTTTTCTTGCATGTCATTTCCCTTAGACTGAACATTACAGTAGGTTTTCTGCCCTTTCATACCCCCTCTAAAACTTGTCAGATGTCAAATCTCTTAGGGAGTCTCCCCCACACCCTCAGTGTGCTTTCCATTAAGATTCAAGCATATCTCTTTTTAAATCCATATTAAATTGGATTAAAGGGTTGTTTGAGGCAAGGTTCTGTCTCAGTATTTTGAAGCTTTTCACTGTTAATTTTACTCTTAGTATTATTTATTGTATGTTGCTTTGTACATAAACTGTATTAAAAGATTCCAGTTAAATAGATTTCTACCTCTCCATTAAAAATGGTTTTTAGCCTGCAAAAGTGACCTTTTCATGACAGTTGACAACTGAAAGTAATTTAACCATAACAGATCATATCACTATCCGATACAAAGAAAAACATTGATCCAAAGCAACTATCATGGGCACCAGCTACAACTCCTGTAAGTCTTATCCAAACTCACTCCGATATTTTTGCTATTTTCTTTGCTTCTGAAGCACAAATGTTTTCTCGGTTCTCTGATAAATCACTTTTTGACAATTTTGTATGAAAATATTTTTGTTTAAAAGTGAATGATTTTTTACTTACACATCTTTTGCACATTAATATAAAAACTTGTATTTTTTGTTATTTATTCAATTAAGACGCGGCAAGAAATTGCCTGTTATCACGACTGTGAATAAGTTTTTACAACATTTTATTCTTTCGGTTTTAATACTGCGCAATGTTTACTTCATCATGAATCAGTCAGATGTCAGTCATATATATTTATTATCAACTAAATAGAAATATAAACTCACTAGTTTCTCATTTTTAAAAAGTTCAAAAAGTCTGTGAGTCAGTGTAGTTGTCCCTAATCAAAAGTTAACCATGACTCACTGTGGGGTTAGACTAGAAGTTGCCCTGTGATTGTGATTTGTTAATGATAAAATTATTATTAATTTTTGTTTTTCCTTTGGTAAAAGGTTGCTGCAGTCAAAAAACATAAACTACTAGAAAAACCACAACAACAGTAAAAAATATTTCTATATAATTTATTCATGGGGGGCCAATGTGAAATTTATTACCTTTATTCAGCCTGATCTATGTTCATAATAAGGAGAAACTTGCTAAATAACTTTAAACTAGATTCCAAGCCGCTCCAATAGCTGTAGGTCTGCAAGGACCCCTGCTCCATCTATACCACAGCAGCAGGAGCAGCCAAAAGTTGAGTTTTTTGAGAAGCCATTAGTTGAGCTCTCTGAGTAAACTGTGAGTAAAGTTTTCCATGTTCACCTTGTTTATTTTTGCACTACTACAGAAATTTTTTTTGGTTCATGAAAAAGCAATTTAAGTATTGTAATTCTTCTGCAATCAAATTCTATAGCTCAGCTATTTTAGGCGTGAAAGAAGCAGTTGTCTTAGTTTACAGTCCTGCTTCACTTATTTGCACCTAACACTTTTTCAACATTAGCTCTATTAAGTTATTTTTTAAATTAATAGTTGCTTAGTTAAACTTTCAACAATAATTTTAACTTGACATAGACGTTACACACGTGGCATGTGCTGTGACTTGAACCCTATGTTTGTAACATTTTTTTTCAATATTTTAATATTGTTTAAAATGTATATAGGCTCCTGTAATAGGAAAGGTCTGCCAAGTTGGTACCACATGCTCAATGTTTTAAAACTTATAATGCAAACTGTGAGTTTACTGAAAAACTTCAAAAAATATGCAACATTAGTGTTCATTCATTATTATAATCCTTAAGTTTCAAATTGTACTGGCAAAAAAAATCAATAAAATTCAGTTGAATTTAAAAATGTTTAAGTGCCTAGGTCGATACTGCTTATAGTAATAATAATATCAATGTCCAAATAGGGATTTCTCGGGCTTTGAGGCCATTCTCTGCCCTGCTGAAATCTCAGATTTGTCCATGGTGCCCTAGCAAAATAATGAAAAATGAAAATCAGCCTTCTAAACTGCAAGATTGGTATTAGTCCAGCGGACTGAACTTTTACATCTGTACAAGTTTACTCTTAACAACTGAAAATTTAACAAAAGCTCACTGGCCCTGTGAGTTGTTGCACCAGTCTTAGGCAATTGAAAAGCCTCCTGTCTGACACCTGGGTAAGCTTATAGAATGTCATTTAGGGCCAAGTGGCAGGGGGGTGTTAGGGACTTCCCCCAGCCACTACAAAGCATAACCTCTGATATAATAGGGGACAAATGGAAAATAGAACCAGGAGAACCCCCAAACAGTTTAAACTGTACTAATTGCATGTACTCGGCAACATGAAATACTTAACAACTATTGGACGAGGTTGAGCAAAATATTGTGATTTGTCAGTGGGGAGCAGATCAATTATTTGCCAAAGCCTGAAGGCCGAGGCAAATAATATTGATCTGCCAGACAGATGTAGAAGTGATCTGCCATTTTCACACAAGAGCGATCACAAGAAGGAGAGAAGAGTGGTTTCTTTTATGCATGAGCAGAATATTATTTGCAACCAAACACAGTTGGATGACATTGCACATGAGCAGACCATTACTGTATTTATAGGCAGTTATTTGCAGGTCATGTGGTGAGCTCTTGGCCAATGAAAAGAAAGAATAATATGCTTCGAATTATAATAATAATTATTGTTATTGCTCAAACTACACTGGAGAGTTTTTGAGAACTAGCAGAAAAATACAGGTGTTGAAATTAGTAAACCTAGAATACTTTAAAGCTGTTTGGTGAAGAGTTCTCAACTAATTTTTTCACATCTGTACCGAGCAGGGACATCAAAGCTGGGCTCTAACAGTGCCTGGTGGCGCCTGGCACCTTAGGCGACTAGAAAATCTTAGTTTTTTCATAGAAACCCTATGCTGGGCACCCTGGATGTCAGAGGTTGGGAGCACCAGGCTACCTTTAATTTTTCTTAGAGCAGTCTTTAATAGACATGCTTAATTACCATGTTAAACTCATCGCCACTAGATGAGGTTGGGAACTGGTGCCTTAAAGGTTGGAGGGGAGCTTGAGCACCTCAGCCATAGCAAGGAGGTATCCATAGCAACCCTGTTAACAGGATCTACCCTTCGCGCTGACACCAACTGGCACTGTCACACAGAAGGAATTCAGTGGAAACTACTCATCTGACCCCATACTTAACAATGCACAAACCCTAAAAAGAGGGGGAAGGGGTGGGAGCCAGAATCTGCAAAGATTCACTTTAACACCAGGGCCCAGTTGTTCGAAGGCCGATTAATGCTAACCCAGGGTTAAATTTTAACCCAGGTTTCTTTTCCGTTTGTTCAAAAGCATTTTTCCTGGATAATTTTCACCCTTCTTTTTAGAGCATCCAATCATTAACTTTTCATTATTTTAATTATTCATTTTTCTTTCTTTCAGTTACAAGCCTATGAACCACAGGCTGAGGATAATAATATGGTGGGTTAAAAGTCTGAGAATATCTTGTATAAATTATTATGAATATTAATTTTTATATTATTTAGGATTATAGATCGTTTTCACTGTCACGCAACAAAAAATTAAATTGGAAACCGTCCAGTGGAAGAAGCCAAGAAAATGAAATGTTGTAAAAGACTAATATACAAACAATTTGTCCAAGTCTCAGGTCTATGTGGCCCATAGTTTCTGAGTTATTTGCCGAAATGTTTCACGCGCCTTTGTAGAGCTTTGTATGGAGGCGCCATATTGGTGCACCGTTTTGGTGCACCAATATGGCCGCCGGAAATCAACAAAAACATCTGGAGTTCACTTTTTCTATAAAAGCTCTTTCTTTTCACTCGAGCACTAGCATATACGTACACATAAACATATCTCCTAATACTTGCAATGGTTATACTGCTGAAAATCAAGAGGAGAGACTTTTTTTCAACGAGACAGCATTCCTATTCTGGTGTCACGCACTGTGAAAACTCGGAAGTTGAAATTGCTGTATTTGCGAAATGAAACATGCTACGGAAACGGAAACCTGTACAAAGATTTACTTTTTGTTTATCTTCAACTTAATGTAAATAAGAATTCGTAAAACCTCGCTATTTGGACTTTACAATTTGATGTCACAGTGAAAACCATCTATAGCTAATTTTAATTCAGTTAATATGCATGTGTAATCAATGGTGATGAGAAAGCCTCAGGAAATTATTAGGATTTGGACAAAACACGCATGAAATTATTCCGTAATTTCACGAGTATACCATTACTTTAATTACCTGTTAATATCATGGGTGACGAATTACATTGGCAATTGTGAATTTTTGACGTTATCCTGTATCGTATCGATCAAGAACTCCGCTCTCTCAAATGTTTAGACCTTAAATTTGGCTTAAGTTCAAAATTTTCAAACTTTTTTGACAAAATACCTGTTAGAATCCTTCTTGATGTGATCTTTCATGTGTTCAGGTTCTCTAAAGTGTCTTTTTGTGCCCTGACATCTTCATTCATGGCATTTTAAAACTTTGTCGCCATCTTGACACTGAGACGTACGGTAGGTTGCCATGGCAATTTTGTAATTTCACACGAGAAATTACAAATTAACGCTGAAATTTGGCGCCAAAATTAAGGAGTGATTCGTCACCTACGATTTTAATACATGTAAGGCCATCTTTTCTGAAACATATCAAGTTCAAACAGTTTGTTTGTTCTGTCCCTTGTGGGTGCACTTCAAATGATGTTGATAAGAAACACAAAGCATTTATTCAAAGAATAAGTTGTATAAGTTAGAAATATTAAGGTTCAGATGGCTTACTCTTATAGACATACAGTCACACCTCCCATAAACCAATATTTTGTGGGTGCTTTATACTGTTGTATGAGAGGTTCCAATTTAGAAGGCTTTGACTGAAAAACAAAAAAGTGAAATGTTATTATTCTTCATTTGTATCTTTCACAGGGAGAGTAGCAAGGAACAGTACAGTTCATGCAGTGTATTTGTCTTTTTATTTGTAACAAAATCAGTTTTGTAAAATATGGAGATTAAAATGGCTCGTTAAATGTGATGGGAAACTTGTTATTAGTGTTTAAGGTCCCCCCTTTCTCCAAACTCTTGACTAGCTAATCACAATAAAAGTACCCAGATTATGTATTGCTTGGTGCATCGACCATTGCAACTGAGTTTAGATACTCTCTGTCGATATCATCTAATATAACCAAAGTGAGAGGCATGACAACTGATTATTAGTAATAGCCCATCCAATTGTCCTTGTATTGGTCAGCATTGACTGTGATGTTGTTGATGGCCTGTTGGTCAACTACTGGTTGAAGATCAGTTGACTGTTTGTTAAGCCTTGATCAGTACCCAACCGAGTTGCTTGACATCTCTATTAAGGACCAAGATCTAAAGCATATAAGTAAAGCAGTTACTGAGCTTTTGTGTTCACTTAAAATACACTTGAAAATTGTAGCAGGGGTTGATGACTACATAGCTGTACAGTTTACTCACAGCAGAAATGCACAGAATTGCTTACATTTTAGATTTTGTTGTGTGCTTTGGGATCCCCTTTCTTGATTAGATTTTTCTATTTGCAGGGGAACATTAAACTCTATTGTATTGTTGATGTGTTCCTAATAAAGTTTTTTAATTGTAACAGTTGTTGTTGTTAAAATTTTTAACAGTGTCTGAAAAAGTTATCTTCCAGGCCTCAGTTGTTCAAATGTTGGATAGCACTATGCGCTGGATAAATCACTATTCAGCAGATAAGTATGAGGGAAACCAATTGCATTCGATTTATCCGATGGATAGCGTTATCCACCTTTTGAACAACTGGGGCTGGAGCACAATGAGAGAAAAATTACAAGGATTATGTTTATTAGGTTCACTCATAGGTACTAGGGTGTACTTAAAAGTGTTGATGAGTTCATAAAAGACCGGCCTGTTTAGCAAGTGTTTTGGCTTGAATTCATTGATAAAATTTTAACAGGAGAGAACTGGCAAAGAAACACTTGCTGCACAGGCTAATTAAGGGCCACCTAATTTTGCCATTGTGCATACTTCCTACATATCACAGGGGAAATAATTGGACAAATTTGACCCTACCGTTTCAGAATAGTACCTCTTTTTTTTTCAGTCCTGCTAAACTTATTTTGCACTTAAAGCTTTTTCACCTTTAACTCTATTTTACTTATTATTAATTTTTTTAAGTGACAAGATTTATTGCTGAGCTATGGCCTATGACTTTGCGGGATAATAGGATATAATAGAGCTTTACGGTCAAACTGAAGCTTGTTCCCGAGGTCTCTTTTCTTCCTGTCAATTGGAGTGACAGAGCGATGGGACCAGATAGGAGGAAGAGACATCCTGGGAATGAGCTAAGTGTTGAAATAAGATCATCATAAACACCTGAAATATTTCACTTTTTAAACAATGCTCGGGTCAAGGCTGACAACAAGAGCAGATCTTAAAATAACAACTGTTTGGATTTTTAAAAAATTATTTCTAAAATGCTGCCTGAATTACACAGGCCCCGGTTGTTCAAAAGATGGATAGTGCTATCCATTGGATAGAGATTAATCCAATGGATAGCATTATCCACCTTTTGAACAAAGGGGGCCAGATGGTTAACATGAATTTGTTTAGAACCCTTCAGGACATTACTATATTCAGAACCTTTTCTGGACATGGATGTCTTTACAAATAATTTATTATGAAAGAGAGCTTTTAAGAATTTGTTTCTATGACTCTTCATAGGGGTCTCAATTTTTGGCCAAAGGGACACAATCTTGGATATTTGCATTTTTGTTCGTAAATAAAAAAATTATTGAAAATTGCAAGTGATAGCGCTTAATCCTTCCCTCAACAGGGCTTCTATAACTTCTGAAAATTGAAATATAATCTCTAGCACTCTTAATTTCCAATTTTACCCACATTAAAAATTCTCCAGACTGATCTCCATACATTTCCTTCAAAAATGAGAGAATTAATTTGACGAAAGACCAATTAACCTAGTTTTCTAGGCTGATATGTCTTGTCATCTCAATTCAGTGATCCACTACACAATATCACAGTTTTCATTGTTAATACTGTCAAACTCTCGCTTTCATACCTGATTTCTATCCCCTTTGATAATTTATTTGACAATGTATTCAGTCACTTTTTAGTTACATAACATTGCTTAAGTACGCTGCGGATACAGTTACCCAGTTAAACCAACACAGGCATTAGTTCACCTGGAACTGTGATAGTACAGCAAGCAAATCCTTCAATTCCAACAGGCAAACTTGCTACTTCTACCCACTCAGATTGATTTGTGTCATAGCAGTCAACACTTCTCAGCTCTCTGTTATTTTTATTGACACCACCAAGGAGGAAAATCTTATCGCGAATGACTGTTGCACCAGCATGAGATCGAGGCTGTAGGCAAGGAGCAATAGCTGTCCAGGTGTCATTTTCAGGGTCATATACTTCACACGATGCCAGTTTAATGGGAGACTCTGAAATGTCCTCTCCTCCCATTACAAATATTTTATCATTCACACAAACAGCAGAGGCATCAGAACGTCGCTGTTTCATAGGGGCAGTCTCAACCCATACATTTCTGTCTTGATCATACATTTCTGCTGACATCAGAGGAATATCATCATTACTAGAATATCCGCCAATTGCATACAGATGGGAGGTCCCTGCAACTACACAATGTCTTGTGCGAGAAACACTCATGGACACAACACACTCCCACTGGTTTAATTTTGGCTTGAAACGCTGGACGACGCTTTGTGGCCAACCATCTGCATCACGTCCCCCTACAGCATAGACGAATCCTCCAAGCACAGCCACGCCCACACCAGCTACTTCCTTTCGCATTGACATTACACTTGACCATGTGTTACATCTTGGGTCAAAGAGCTCCACACTTCTTGTTAAACTACTGGTTTTTGTAGTCCCTCCCATTACATACACTAAACCTTCATGTACTGCAATGCCATGATTATTTCTAGGGGCCATCATTGGTGTCAACTCAAACACTTGCTGAATGCTTGGCATAAACACCTTTGTAGAAGAAGTGACATCACAATTTTCCTGCCAACCTCCCACGATGAGAATGGCCGCTTGACACGCGCGAGGCTGGAGACATAGTTGACCTGTGCCTTGACCTGTTCCCCTTGGGCAAGAGAAATATTCTTTAGCCGCGTTGACAAGGCGAAGACAAGATTCATCTTTCTTCACGAGATCCTCTTCTTGCACTTGTGTAATCAAATAACACCTCGCTAGATAAATCAGTCGAACGTATGTAAACAAAGTAGAGAAATGCTTCTTACGTGTTTTCAAATCATGCTTCGTCCATTTCAGCACAGATTCGAAGACCTTTTCCTCTCGGGCGACAAGGTTGTCACTTGCTATTATTGCAACTAACTGTTCTATTCCGAGCGTTACAAAAGCACTATTGGCTGATACTGCCACAAAGTTCTCGAGGATGTGTTTTTGTGCACTGTCGCGTAATTCTCGAACATTATACTTTTCTGCCATGTACAACAGAAATAGACAATTTTCCGAGTTCAGATCGCTAATCAGAAATTCACAAGCCTTCTGTTTTAAGTCGGTCAAAATTAAAAAGTCTGCACCAATAGCAACGTCAAGAGCATTCTCTCTTTCGATTTCTATTCCGCCACCATACATGTAATTGAGTAATTGTTCCAAGATTTTGGGTTCGAATTCCTCCATGTGTACGGTATTTTCAGTCTTTTCTTTCATTTCATTGGCGAACAATGCCCTGAAGAACTCGCTGTTTGCCGAAAGGACGTTTCGATGAGCTGGGAAACAATTCCCCTGTACAATCAATTTCACATCGCAAAGCGTTTGTCCCTTCCGAAACTCATTTAATGTGTTCATTATTTTGCTGCAGAAAATCGCCTCCTGTGAGGACATGTTGCTGGAAGAACTTTGGTTGAAATGAGTCACTGCACCTGTTCGGATTTTATCATCATCCGGAAAGCAATGTTTATATTCAGCGGTGGCGGGAATCAGAATAAATAGCGGGAATTTTACCCAAGCCCGTCGTTCGAAAAGCATCACATGGCCGTGTATTCGCTTTCCCGCGAAACGGATTCATCAAAACAACTTTAATTTTTGATTGTAGTATCAATACTTCTCTTTCATGACATGGCAACGTTTCATCCCAAGTATTCTCCTTTTTATTTGCTTTCTCCGTCAGTTAAGGCGGCTGTTGGGCGCGTCTAAACCGCGTACTCATCACGCGAGGTTTCGTTTTGTGGCGCTGGCGTGCGAAAAAAACTGAGTGGAAATGCTCTCTAGGTGTCTACACTTTCCTGTTCATACAAATTTTCTTTTCTTGTATTTGTTACTGTAGTCAATTTTGCTTTGTCTGTCGCTCCACCAGGCAGTACAGTTCCAAATTCAAGAGGGCGCAAGGCTCGTGCTTGCCACTGTCACGGAGTACAACACTATCGCAACGTACGATGGGATAGCCACACGCCAAGCTTGGCGGCCATCTTGCTTTCTCTTCGCACTGACAATGGCGTAAAATTATTGTGCAATTTCGGATTAGTTTCAAACTTTAGAAGCCTTGCAAAATGGGGGACATGGAAATTGTTAGACAGTTCAATAGCGAAGTATGTATATCATTATTTAAGCTTGCCCTTGCTTGACTAATGTTGTTTAACACGTTGTTAGGAGGACGTGTTTGTGTTAATGCTTCGTCGAAAGTATATGCTTCGATCTTTTTTCAGCTGTCAACAATCTATGAAACCAAGCCACCTATCTCGAAAGCGAAGGTAGCTTCAGTTACCAGGCTTGCTGTTAAAGCCATCAAGGTAGATTTTGTCCTTCGATAAACTTGTTTTTGCGGAAAAAAGTGGATTTTCGCGAGGGTCCAAGTTCTAATCATTGTGGTCTCATTGCAGTATTACAAGCACGTGGTGCAAAGCATCGAAAAATTTGCACAGAAGGTCAGTTGAAAATATTATTTGACTGAAGCGATGTTGTACATTTTGATTAGTAGAAGGGATTGTGTTTAACTTGAAAAGAAACTCGTTGGGTAACTTTCGTCATGTCCTGTTTTCAGTGCCGACAAGAGTACAAGATTCCGGCTCTTTACGTAATTGATTCGGTGATAAGGCAATCCAGACATCAGGTAATGGTTGATCTTAATATACTGATTAAGGAGATCTTCGTTATAAAATCAAGCAACGTTTGTGTATGTGTATATTGTGATAGATATTTACAGAAGGCTTGTGTTGTAGGTTTTATATTATGCAAATTATTGTGCGAATTTTATCATACTTAGATTTCATTTGTTCAAGAGCATAATATACTACTTCCCTTCCTCTTCCTACCTATCTTTGTCTTACTTCCTGCACTAGTAATAACATCAATGAGTTAAAATTCTGCTCTGGCCATGTGGTGATTTTACAATATGCAAGCTAAAACCAGCTAACTTTTTCTTTCTTCACCATTGGTTAATATTCAGAAGTGGCCTTTCTGGATACTGCTTATAAAAATAGACCCTCCCACTTGTTAGAGCATGGCGGCTTTTCCAAATGCTAGAAGGCTTCGGGGGGCAGAGAGGTGATGACAATAACACTGTGTTACCCCTGGTAGGGTAGATGTATTTTTTAGAATTACAGTAGCATCCCGATTTCTTGAATCCTCAGTTTTTCAAAGCAAATTGTGTTAAGGTTGGAAGGGGTTCATATCCAGTAAAAACTCTGTTAAGGTACGTGGACATGAAACTCACCCCTTGTCTGTTAATTTGTGTGACATTAGCTTAAGCTTCCCTATGAACTTCAAAATGTATTTTAGTTATTTTGGTTAATTTTGTTTCAGTTTGGCTCGGAGAAAGATGTTTATGGACCAAGATTTGCAAAGAACCTCACTCTAACATTTCAGCATATCTTTAAATGTACTCCAGAGGAACAGGTATTTTTAAAGATTTTTATGACTCTACAGTCTGTCTGCCTTGTAAAAATGCTAAGTTATTTTAGCTTGGTTCTAATGAACCTTTCCCACATTCTGTAGCTCCAGGAGATTATAATCTATACATCACCCTCAGAAGATATTTTTCTTAGACTCCCCACCCTTCTAGAAATTCCAATTAAGCTTTACACATTTCTTTTAACTTTTTGGGCTTTGAGATCCCCTCCTCACCCAGGAATTTCCAATCCCTTCTGTGGGGTTGTATGGAGATTTTCTGAAACTACATATTCCACACCAGTGAGCAGGGGCATAGCAAGAAAATTTTTACCAATGAGTGCAAAAATGTCATGGCTTTTGTGTGTGTCAAAATTGGAAAAACTAGCCTGTACATTTTGTTTTAAAGGAATGATTTCATTGTGGATCAAAAATCCACGTTTTGGCAAAACCATTTGTGAGACCCTGTGTACATGTCAAAATACAATATGATCTCGGAATCAATCATTTTTAAAAATCTCAGCTGGTGTGAGGTTGACTGGTTGGCTGTAAAACTGTTAATTGCACATACAACTGGACGTCATGACATTAAATCTGAACTTAAAGCTGCCCTTAAACCAGTCTTAAAAGCAGTGGTCTCAAATTCTTAAGCCTTTGGTAAGGAGACAGTAGTAACTGTGTTTTATTATTATTATTATTACAGGGAAAGGTGATCAAGGTGCTGAACTTATGGCAGAAGAGTGGCATTTATTCTCCTGAAGTCATTCAGCCTCTCCTGAATTTGCCATCGTCTTTGTCAGAAGGTAAGAATGATTTGAAAAAATGTCTTTAAAAATGTGACTCTCCACTGATAAAACTAATCTTATGAAGTTTTTCCATAAGCATTAAAAAAACAAAAATAAATTACCAACACACTGCTTGAAATCAATTTTTTTGCTGTGAATTAAGTATTTTTACACCGTTTTAACTCTACCACTCTACCTGTCAAAAATCATTTCACTCTTTTTATGAATTTGATCAATTTGAAAACAAAATTACCGTAATAAGAGTGAATACATGTATTTTCATGTCATGACATTTATGATAAGGAGCTGTACTTTACAGTGGTGAAATTTATCAGATGATTCCCCTGGAGTTCCCCCTGCTGTTATGGTTGTAGTGTTTTTTTTGCCTGATGTTTGAAGGTTGTATTTTGCACGGTTATTTTCTCAATTACAATGTTTGTTTGTTTAGGCTGGGGAATGTTTCCACATGCCAGGGCTTCTGATATTTCGTGGAAAAAAAGCAAAATTTCGCGGAATTTTCAGGGGCAAATTCGTGGAAAAATCGGCCAATTTTGCGGGATTTTCGCAGGAGAAAAGTCAAAATTCACAGAAAAATCGGCCGATTTTGAGAGATTTTCGCGGAAAAAAGTCCAATTTCCAAGGATTTTCAGGGGCAAATTCTTAGAAAAATTGGCCGATTTCACAAGAAAAAACAGCCAATTTCGCTGGATTTTTGGGGGGAAATTTCGCTAAAATCGATCAATTTTGCTTCGATATGACCAGTGTTGTTTACGTTTTTTTAATGGGGATAATCATTTGCTCTTTCAACAACAGTTCACTCGAGAAATGAACGAATGCTAAAGCTATTAACATTATGGTTAGTGCCCAGTTTTTCGCAACGTTCATCTAAAAACACCTGGGAGTTTTGGGACGTTGTTTACTCGTTGCAGTGACGAAGTTTCAAGATAAATATGGACGTTTGGGGCGAATAAAACAGGTCTAATAGCCAAGATAAGTATTAAATATGTTTTTGCCAACATGTATTTGGAAATATTTCTGGCGGATTTCGTGCTATTTCGCATTTTTTTTGGTAATTTCGCGGAAATACCTGAATTTCGTGGGTCCGTGACCACGCAAAATATCAGAAGCCCTGATATGTACAAGTGCTTGCTTAGGCTCTAGAACCCCACTATCTTTGTTGGTTTTCTTGTAGTACTACAACAAAAAAATTTCATCCTGCTTATCAGTTTAAATACGTGTAATATCATGACAAACTACCAGTGTTAAGTTTGCAAAAGTTTTGGGTTTGCTGTCATCTAGCAGAGTCCCTTTAAATAAAAAAAAGCTCCCTAAGATCAAAGAGCCATTGCCTGCAGGTTATATTTAGTTTCATTACAAATAACTTTTTGTTTTGTTCAGGAATGGAGGAATTTTAAAGCTCTTTAGGTGTAAATGCTAAGTTTTTTCTAGACGTTTGGTGTTCAGAAGAATAAACTTCTGTATTTTCAAGAACTGTTTATAGAAAATGCACTACCTCTATAAGTTTTTAATACATTTTGCGTAACTCTGGCTGCACGCTTCTGTAATTTTTGGAGCTTATTACTCAAGTAACCACTCAAACAGTCCCAGACGGGGCTGCAGTAATCAAAATGAGGCATAATTAAAGCGTCATAAATTTGTATTGCAGTTTCTTCGGATATAATGTCCGCACCTATAGCTTAAGAGACTTTCTTGCAAATCTCTTCAACGTGTTTACCTCAAGAGAGTTGAGCATCTATGGTAAGACCCAAGGATTTGGTATGATCGACTCTCTTGATAATTTGGTCATCAATTCCGATTTCTACATCGTCACATTGGGCAGATAGTCTTTGTCTTGATCCAATAATCATTAGCTCTGTTTTAGCAACATTTACACTGAGCTTGTTAGCTTTCAGCCAACAGCTAAGGTTATTTAATTCCGGGGTTAGAGCTGGCTTAAGCTCTGTTAACGTCTTAACAGATAACGTAAGATTGGTGTCATCGGCAAACATTCTTGGTACGTTGCCCCGCAGGGAGTTGGGAAGATCATTAATGTAAATTAAAAATAGCAAAGGACCCAATATGTGGTACATGTAAGTTTGTCTATGCACGATAAGAATTTAACTTAAAGCGTAATGGTGTGATTTATGAAGGCTGCTTTTTGGGTGTAATGTCACAAATATTTATGTTTTTATAGACTATTTTGAACATTCCCTTGCAAGCTACAAGGGGTTTTTCTCACAGGGATTTAATTATGTTTTTGTACATGCTCATTTCTAACAGCTCAATTTGTGATTGTTTATCCAGGTGAAATGCCATCCACTATGGATGCTGTTGAGGAACCTACTGAAGTATTGCCTCAGAGTGTAGATACAGCAAATGTGAATAATCCCCTTACCTCAGCTCTTGAAGCACAGCGACAGGAACACTTACAACAGATCCAGCTACTTGAGCAGAAATTACAAGAGCAACAACGAATAAATGAACAGCAGCAGCAGCAGTTACTACAGCAACAGCAATTTCCAACAATCCCAGGTATGCCTGTGGTGTCTGGTATGCAGTTAGCACCACAAGCTCACCAGCCTGGTTATGAAGGCCCACAACAATCTCAGGCTAATACTGAAAGTGCTGTTGTGGATGCTACAGAAACTCAAGGAAGCAGGGTTCTTCCATCAGCAGTAGGGCTACAGCAACAGCAACCCAAGTTTCAACTGCAGCCCGAGGTGTTTGCCCAGATTCAAGCTCTAACAGGTTAGAATTTTGGCAGCTATTTCTCATGGTTTTGCATTGTTACTGAATGTTGCATCAAGGCTTTGGTCTAATAAGCCGTCATAAGGAATAATAAGCTTTCCTAGTCTCTCAAAAGCAAAAGTAAGGCTCTGCATCCTAAAAGATTAAGATTGAGGTCATGTTCTTAAAAATCTTTTTCTTTTAATTTAATTTTTTGGTTGACCGTAATTGATGATGATCTTTATTTACAGTTAAGCCAGGTGTGATTATTGTTGGCATAAACTTCTTTGCCAACAGTGTATTTTTTTTTTTTTGGGGGGGGGGGGGGGGGGGGCCGGGGGTTTTTTTTTTTGGGAAAATATTTTGGGGTGGGGGGGGCTTGTTTTTTTGTTTTTTAAAGGGCATGTTAGAATAATTTTTTTTTTTCTTTTGTTTATATATATGAGTTGTTTGGTTTTTGTGAGTGTAGTCTTTTTTGTGGAATGTTTTTTTTTTTTTGGTGGGGGGGGGGGGGGGGGGGTCGCTGGTATATCTATATGGGAAGAATATTTTGTTGAAGGGTGGCTCATATTTTTAGTTCTTAAAGAGGCATTTCAGGAACATTTTAGTGCTACTTGGAAACCCAACATAGGTGTTTGTATCTGTAACAGGAAATCTAAACTTGTCACCTAGAACAGGGCTGATATCAGTTATATTAAACATGAAGTTTAAAATGATAAACACCATTGTGATCAAGTTGCATTTAATTGCATTTTCTGCTTGAAGGAATTGTGTTTATTTGTTTTGAACTGTAGTCTCATGTTTGTAAAATTTTCCAGGTATGAATATACGCATGCCTAATCAGGCCAGTGCACCAGACTCTGTGCCAGGACCTCAACAGTCAAATAGTGTCCAAGGCACTAATGTTGAAGCAGGTCCACCTCCTGCCAACCAAGGCACAGCGTTTCATGATAGTACAAACTATGGGGCTCCACCTGGTATGCCTGTGTGGGCTCCTCATGGGATAGGACCTACTGGCATTGCTCCAACACAGCAAGGTTTCCCACAAGAGGAGGAAAGAAGAGCAGTAAGTAGTGAGCTTAGACCATCAGATCATTTTAGTTTTCTGGGAAACTGCCCACATACCCCCCCCCCCCCCCCCCCAACTCGACATTAACAATAACTTCTCACAAATGTTGGCTTAGGGGTGGGGTAGGTGGGTGGTTTCCCAGAATCCTACATTGATCCATAGCATCTTAGTTATTCTGTGCATGAAATGTCTCAGATAACTTGAGCAGGATGCACAGGAGCTGGTTGTCTTGTCGTAATAATAATAATTGTTTCTCCATTCAGGGCTCAAAATAACGGACAGCAGGTCACCGGTCCTGATGGCCGGCCAAATAATTTTTAGCCTGGACAAACCCCGATTTTGGCCAGTCAAATAAAGAATACTATAACATTTTTTTTTGCCTATGGAGTATCGAATTATGCTGGAGGTTGGTGAAAAATTCATTCACATGTTCTTGAGTTCCTTTCCACGGTTTTCGTCCTTTTTCATGTCCGTTATACCTTGAGTATCATGGCGGTGTCTGAAAATCCCCGAGGTTCATCCCATATCTGCATATCGGTGAAACGTGATCTTTTTCGTTGTCCGGCATGTGATCGAAAGTCTCCTCCACAAAGAAGAACAACGCTAAATATTTTGGTGAAGAAGCTGATTTGGGGGGAAAGCTGTTGCACAAACAGAGTGTTTATCATCAGAAGTCAATAAATATACAGCTTTCGTTTGGGTCGTTCATAACACTTTACCGCGAAGTGCTTATTAATGTCAACAGAAATTTGCAGAAAGCTGTTTACAAGAAGGAGGGATAGACAATGTTCGTTCTCGATTAGCTTAAATTTTTATCAGACTATTCTGGAATCGAGTCTGCAAACGAGATTCATGTTTGATATAAAGAAATTATTATAAAATCGATGCGCTAAAATTTATTTTTCGGAGAAACAGTAGCAGACGAGTTGTTGAGAATTGTGATCGCTTTGCCCCAATTCCGTCGAAGATGATTTTCACAATCCTGTTACAAGTAGATGTGAAACGTTAGATGGACAAAACTGTTAGCTATCCTTTAGTTTTCTAACGGATAACAGATTATTGTTAGTGCGTTTTTTCCCAAAGACAGTCACACTATTGATTTTAGCACAAGCAGAAAGTGCAGTATAACCTGCTGCATCGTTGCATCACTCCACAACTCGGTTTGTTGTTGTTTTGCCTTGTTGCATTTCATTACGACATAAAATTTATTGCAGCGTTCTTTTTTTCTTTAAAGGTTTTAGTGCAAAGCATCCCAAAAAAATAAGCCAAAGATAAAAGAAATCACTGCAGCATTATAGACCAAAACACATTAAGCGACAACTATATGGAAAATGTTATAAAATGTTCGTATCCAAAACTGACCGGTCAAAATGACCGGCGAGACGAGAGTTTGACCAGTCAAGCCCACGATCAGGCCGGACATTGTCCGTTGACCGGTCATTATTTTGAGCCCTGCCATTTCTGATTGGTTTGAATTCCCTGGCCAGATTTTCATGACCAACTACACTGACCAAATTTAGAAGGCTTTTTCTTTTTTGTGGTAATGGATATCAGTTGTCAAATAATAGCCATGTATGTCATGCCTAGACAGCAGCAATGCAGTCCAGCTGTTTTGACGGTGCAGGACTGAGCAAATTGGCAGAAGGTTTCACAGCATGCAAGTACAAAATAGCTGATCTACTTACTTAGGGTAATCAGTATAACAACCCCTTTCACTGTTCACTAAAATATCAAACACAAAATGTAGAGTCTAGGCACTAAGATGTGGAATGACAATGCAGGGCAAGGCATGTGCAGGAAAATTCCTAGTAGGTGCTACCCTAACATGTGATTGTTTTTGTTTAGTCTGTTATAGATGATTTTGATTATGGAGATGATGACGATGATGCATCAAGAATAGCAGAGCAAAGACGGCATTTGATGGAAGAGGAAAGAAGACTAAGTCAAGAGTCAGTAAATGAAATTTAGATGTAATAGACTTTGAAGGCACTTATGTATACTTGCTTATTCTAAAACATGCTAAAAATAACAAAAAAAATACGCCACATCTGGCTGGAGAAAAGCTCTCTCGTTGGCAAACTCTGGGCTGTCATATCAAGCAAAAAAATGCTGATAGAGAGCTGATTTGGATTGTAATCCATTTAGATGTTTAAGCGAGTGAGATCTTGACCATGTTGTTCATCAATAACTGGGTAGGAAGTGAAAACATCTAGAGCTTGTCACTGGGCATGTAGGGAAGCCGGGGTGGCACAGTGTTGTCTCCAACCATTGTGACCTAGGTTCAAATCCTGATGTTGACGTCATATGTGGGTTGAGTTTGTTGTTGGTTCTCTCCCTTGTGTGGAGATGTTATTTGCTGGGTACTCTGGTTTTCCCTCTTCTAAAAAAAACCCATTTCCATATTCTAATTAGCTCCAGGACATGTGGTAGACAGAGAGCCTCTTTGTGGCTGTGCTACTGTAAGAAACATTTATTAATTCTATCCATAAAGTTTGTTGTTTCCTGAGCCTGCTACTGTTGGTGGCGTTATTTTGAACTCATGGCTATGATGGCTCTAGTTCCTTGATTGATCAGGCTAGTTTTATTTTTCCATTTTTTAAATTTTCCAGCAAATTTTACCATAATGCCTCAAACTCTCTTTAAAAAATGGTTGTTGTAAGGCATTAAAATAAAACTGATCAATGTGCCCTAAATCAAATTGTAAGTTACTGTTTCTTATGTCTACAACACCAGTGTAGTGGTAAAAATCATAAATGAAATTTATACAACGCTGGTTATTAATATTGCAGATCCAATCCTCGTCTGGTTGAGATGCAAGGTGAATTCCAGAACACTTTCAGATCAGTTGGTGAACTGCCTCAAAGACACCCTGACCCTGCTGGTATGATTACAGCAAATTCCAAAACTCAAAGCAAAAAAACTTCTAAGCAGTTTGAATATTTTCTTTGAATAGCTCAAACTTCATCAGTGATGTAATATGAATGAGATTTGGTTGAATGGCCAGGACGTACAGTCCCTCATCCCTACTGCAAACGTTTTTTGCCTTGATTTTTGAAATAGACCTGTTTGGCACATATGATTTGTTTTGCCATTGCAGACCATGTGATGTTACCCCTGGTAACTGTTTGTTTCAAAAGTTTTGCTATCAGCATGTATACGAGTGCATAACTAATGAAAAGACAAAGGCTCATTCACCTGAGAATATCATGTGGTCTGAATTGGGAAAAAAAACCTACAAGCTGAAAAGGTGTATTTCAATGTTGTTCCTGTTATGTCTTCACCATAGCAGAAGGACAACCTTTTGGTTCACATTTCGTTAATAGTTTAATTTCCTGCTTCCAGAGAATGCACTTAAAGTACAAGCACCACTGCATAGTACTACTAATTAGAGACCGTGTGTGAAATTTCATCACTACACAGTATCAAAGTCGCGATTTATTTGTAATCATTTTTAGGTCCTTTTGGCAGACGATCGCCAGATCAACACCAGAGGGAAAGATCCCCTGGTGACCGTTACCATAAATCCAGGTCCCCAAGAAGGAGAAGCAGAAGTCCAAGGTGGAGAGATCGCTCGCCTCGACGTCGATCACGCTCACCCTATGGAAGAGACCGAGACAGAGATAGAGATAGAGACAGGGACAGGGGGCGGAATCGTGATCGAGATAGGGACTGGCACAAGGATCGAGATTCTGATCGAGATAGAGATAAGGACAGAGGGAGAGGCAGTGATAGAGAGACTGAGAAAAGACATGATTGGATTCCGGTACCAAAGAAGGAGACTTTGAGTGGTAGGTGTTCTTAATGTGTATTTTTACCTGTCAACATATATAATCTTGTCAGTGACAAGTTTCAAAATTTTCTTCTACTCCCACAACAGGCCTGTAGGCTAGGGTGGGTCAATGGGTTTGTATGATCCCCATACTGCCAGAAGAGGTCTGCTGACAGGTTTTAAGTTTACTCATCTCATTTCTATTAATTTGTATCCAACTCAAACTACATATGATTTCCAATACTTTCCAGTCCTCTGCTTTTGATTAAACTATTTTTATAGCATGGCCTTACATACATTACATGTATTCGTTATTTAACAAAAAAATCAACAAGGAAATGTCTAATAATAATTGTGCTTTCAAACACAAATGACAAGAGAGTTTGGGAATAACAAATGGGGGCTTTTTTTTTGGGAGTTGTAAACTGATGGGAACCGAGTTGAATTAAGATAAAACTCGTGCACCTAACTAGAGGGAGGGAGATTGGGAAAAGTTTCTAGTTGACTTGAGATTACTTAGGTGATGATTAACACAACAAGAGCTGTTTGGTCTGTTAAAAGAGAAAAAGAACCTAGCCAAACCAAAACCAGGCTGCAGGCCTGCACAACAACATGTTCAAGATAAGTTCTCCTTGCTTTTGAAACTGTAAATGTGGTCAAAGGGTGTAGCCATTCAAATAAAGTTGAGATTCTTCATGAATTTTGATTTAGGGGACAATCTGAGGTGATTTGATGGATGTATCATCAATCATTCATTTTTTTTATTGTTGTGCTTAAGTTTGCAGTACCACAATCTGGGTTGGACATTTGGGAAAATCAGTCACAAAGGAAAATCTACTTGAAATGTTTGAGGATCATAAGCTGCCAGTTTCATCTATTGATGTATGTATTTAGGGGTTTCAATTCTCTAAAGGCCCACATTTGCCTAGTTGTTAACTTATATGCAGACTGCAGACATTGTTTTCTGTTTCTTTTTGAAAGTCGACAAGCAGGCGAACAAAGTGAGGATGGAGCATGAGAAAAATAAAAAGAAAGATCCCCTTTACTAGTAGTCATTTAATCCCCTGCAGTTTTTATTCTCATATGTGTGCTCAACAATCTCTAAAGAGGAAATAGAGTCTGTTAACAGGCTATCTAGATGTACCCTTTCATAAGAAAATCCTACACTTACCAAAGAATTAGAGAGAACAGTTAAACATTTAAAAGTTTTAAAACAAATGGTCATAAAGCATATCAGAATGATGAATGTACAGCGTAGGCTCCCTAACTGTGGCACAAAAGAAAGATTTTTAAAACAGTAACAAGTCCACTGTTTTGTTGGCTTGGAATGTGATGATAACGAAGAGACGGGCGGTCAGAAAGAAGTTTGCAGTTTTGTGGACTTGATGTTGATTGTCTCTTAGTTTCTGATTCCAGCATCTTGCTTGTTAAACCTCTTGTTTACCTTTTTGCCAAGGATAGATAGACTGTTCACTGTCCCCTATTTTTTGGTAAGATTGTCGAGATCGAGCACTTTACATAGCAGGCACTTATCTTGGTCTCAAGTGTTTTGAGTCTAGCCTGGGGATGAGTGTCCAGTCCACTTAGTGGTCAGGGGATGGTTTGGGAGGAGGTGCCACCCCCCGACTTCTATAAACTGCAACACCGATCCCCTCAGTACTTATTGAATCAATATGGCTGCCCATACTGGTAAGCCTGCAATCCTGATGATCTTACAAAAACATACTGTAGGGGACTGTGAGCAGTGTCCATCAAGGAAGGTTGTTGTTGCTTGAATGTGACAAGAAGACATCAGAATGTCAGAACACTTCTGAAGTATTGCCAGAAAACAACTTGTAGCATGCATAATACTCTCTTGTTGTTACATGACAGAAAAAGTATGGAACTTGCTACAAAATAGTTTTTCATCAGTTACTAGCTACAGTTCTTCAAAACTAATGTTATACACATTTATGTTTAAAACTTGTCCTTGTCCTTGCTGGGCTCTCATATCAGCCATTCTTGTGTATAGCCCAGTTTTAATACCTTTAAAGATAATTTTAGACTATTAGGTATTCGTTATGATTTTCAGAACATATATTTTCATCTCTTCATTATATTAATATAATATTTTATTTGTATTTGAGCTTACCTGCAAGATAGCTGTTAAGTTACATGTGAACTCTCGTGAAAAAAAGTGCCATGTTTTGTATGAACTAATGATAGCTGGTGAATGTTGTTATGTTGGGTGCTTACAGAGAGAAAAAAATATAGTGAAACCTGGATATGACAAAGTGCCAAGGGATTGTGAAAATTTGTTCGCTTTAACAAGGTGTCGTTATATCATTGTTCTTTTTCTTATATTTTACTATTAGTGGGGCAAAGACAATTGTTTGTTACAGTGAAGCCTTTGTTATGTAGAGGTTTGTTATATCGAGGTTCCACTGTAATTACATATACTGACACAGTTTTTGTCTTATAATAGATGGTTCCCCCTAGAGGATGTGCATATGTTGTCATGGAACACAGAAAGGAAGCTTCAAGGGGGCTAGTTGTTCTTAAAAATACAAGGATGTATAATAATACTCTCAAGGTTTGTAGTAATTTCTGTTGTTATATCTTTTGAAGCAGCTTAAGCCTTAGAATGTGTGTTGTTTCTCACTGATCGATTTTTTCAATGCACGTATCGGATCAGTACTTGAATATGCCTGTCACTTGTTTCACACTAGTCTGCCCTGCCCACCTATCTGACCAAATTGAAGGGGGTCAAGAGCAAAGAGGATTACGTATGTGATATGCTTACGCCATTAAAGGGGCCGTGTTACGGCAGTCCAGTTCATTTTGTTTAATTTTGCCAATTACTTGCCCTCAATTGCTATGGAACTTAAAGTAAGCAAAGAAATTACATGTAAATGACAAAATCAGAGATCCGAGACAAACAAATATGTGTCCTGAGCATAATTTTTGAAGTTGCAAGCAGCAGGGATCAACTTTGAAAAACTGTTAGGCTGAACAGTTTTCAAAAAAACCATAGTTTCAATCCGTTTCAGTCTTCTTCAGTTTTGCCCATCTGTGGCATCTGTTGTTTCTGTTGTGTTACTTTAACCTTTCTTTGATGTTTTAAGTGGTTTTTTTTTTGTTTCTCTTAATTTAACGGGCATTTTGTAATTACCTAATTGGGCTGAATTTCGTGACACAGCTCCTTTAATTTTCTCCTAACGTTCTCAATACACAATCAAGAGAAAAGGTTATAAGAAAAAATAAAATGATCACCAAAGAGTAGGCGCTTTGATCCTTTATCAAATTCTCTTGACTCAGGGGCCATGAGGGTGAGAGGAATAATTGTTTAAGTAAAATCCAACTAGTTGGTAAGAAATATCGAGACAAAACAACTTTAGCCAGCAAAACGCGATTCACCTGTCATTGTTTTGGTTTTCAAAGCCTGCGTTTTTTGCTACTAGTGGGCTATAACATATAGCCTAGTAGCAGCTCAACCACTGAGAACGCAGCATTGATAATAGACCACAAGTTGGATTTTACTAAAGCAGTAATAGCTGTACTCTCAGGATCAATTACGCGTAGTACAACACCCATATTGCGCCTATTCCTTTTTTTTCGAATTGCCTATAATACCCTTTGTTTACCCTCCAAATTTTTGTGCATTTTGAGACGATTGTAAATGCCAGGACGAATTGAAAGCAGTGGTGATGCAAAATGTTGGGATTCAAACAAATTCCGAATTCTAAAATATTAAAGAATGTTATTTTATTGGTTGAGCACCATAAGTGAACAGTTGATGTCTTTTTTACAGTTGGCCTGGGCACCAGGAAAGGGAGTGAAAGGAAAGGAGTACAAGGAATATTTTGACACCGAACAAGGCGTGGCTTACATTCCATGGAAAAAGCTTGGAAATGGTGTGGACTTTCAGGCACTGAGTGATGGAGGCTGGATTGATCCAGAAACTCTTCCGCCTGGCACACAGAACACATCTAAAGAGGGTCAGTTTTATTTTGCTGCTTTCCTCGGTCAGCTACTGCATCGTTTAAGTTTTAACGTATCTTTGAAGAAATTTCACCTCAAGTGTCTAATTTTCAATGTAAGATGGCTATACTGCTAAAACCTTTCATTCAGAGTCGAACAGAATTAAAATTGTCTTGCAAATCATGTTTGAGTGGTAAAGTTTTCGTTTTGCGGTCATGTCTATGCGTTTCGCCTGGCTTGAGTGCTGACTTACGGTTGACTCAAAATTGTGGGGAAGTTCAAAGAAAAGTTTGCAACATGTTGTGGCATTAGTCAGTTACTCAAACCGGTTATGCACTCTTCTTAGTTCTTGAAAAGTGATAAATGAATTGAAAAATACAAACGTCATGTGTGGTTGTCTCGTTCTGGTTTATCATTACAGTAATATCTGGACTTTTGATATTTCACTTTCAGGTTCAGAGGCTGGCAGTACAGACACAAGTAATACTAAGGATGAAAAGGATCTTGGAACCATGAGCCAGGAAGAGCTTATGAAGCTTGCAGCTGCACAAGCAAGCACTGAAGGAAAGGCCTCGGAGCAAGGCCCACCTGTAAACCCGTTAAGCCAGCCCCCTCCTCTTGCACCTCCTCCTGGGCCCCACATGTTTCCAGGGCCCCATCCAATGGTACCTCCTCCAATGATGATTCAGCCTCCATTCCCAGGAGCCCCAGTGCCGCCCAATATGGTGCCTCCGCCGAACATGGCGGGAGTTCCGCCTCCAAATATAGCAGGGCCTCCCCTCCATCAATTCAATCCACCTGGAGCCCCTCCTGGTAGTGTCCCCAATGGACCACATGGGCCGCCACCACCAAATCTTGCCAGACCTCCCGAAGGGAGCCAGTTTCCACCAGATAACAGCCAGTTTCCTCCTTCCAGCTTGCCTCAGGAGGGAGGGCAGTTTCCACCGCGGTTTCCAAACCGACCACAGGACGGTGCTCAGTTTCCTCCTCACGATAGCAAGTTTCCACCTGTTAAACCGGAAGAAGGAGGGCAGTTCCCTCCACATCACCCAATTGATGAAGCTCACCTGCCACCTCATCAACCAGTTGACCAGTTCCCTCCACACCATCCCAGTAGAGAGGGACCGTTCCCTCCACACCACCCTACAAGACATCACGAAGGCGGACAATTTCCTCCTCCTCCTCCTGGTAGATTTCAAGGAGGACACTTCCCACCAATGCATCATGGACCTCCCCCGTTTCACCAGAGACCGCCCCACCATATGAGAATGCCACCCTTCCATCCGGGAGGACCAAGGTTCCCTCATGACATACCGCCTCTTATGCCCGGTGGAGGGCCTCCACGTGGACCCGACTTTGGACCTCCTCCGTGGGGTCCAGGACCTGGTCCTATGAGGGGCCCACCTCCTCACAGCATCCCCTCATCTGGCTGGCCAGACAATCGACCACCTGAAGACGTGCGCAGTCTTGAGGAACGGGATAATCAGGGTCAGGAAGAAAGACCCGGAGAAAGACCTGGAGACAAGAGCATAATTGACAAAGGAAACCCTATGGAGCAGGCGGAGGCCGAAAGAGACTTTCCTGGAAGACAGAGAAGGGAACAAGACGATGGAGAACGCGATCGTGTTCGTGATCAAGTCTGGGAGCGTGTACGTGACCGGGATGATCGTGGCCGAGAACGTGACGATCGCGCTCGAAATCGAGATCGCGATGATCGTTTCCGAAATCGCGATCGTGGTCGAGATCGTGAACGAGACCGTGATCGTGGTCGAGATCGAGATCGGGATAGGGATTGGGATTGGGATCGGGATCGAGGTGATAGACGTCGTGAACGTGAGAACTACCGGCCACGAGAGTTCAATGGTGAAAGAGATGGTCCAAGAGATGCTTCTCGGGATGGTCCGAGAAGGAGGAGCAGGTTTGAACCACTGGAGGAAAAACCTGTACCCAACCCGTCAGAGCCAATACTAAACATTGTAAATGTAAGAAAAGAAGAACGATCCAGCGAGATTACAACTTCTATTGCTACTCAAAACTCTCAAAGTGAACTTGCACCAAGAGAGGAGGGCGAAATTGTTGAAGGAAATGAAAGTGAATCTATGAACGTTGCTGTTGAAAATGAAACTGCTGGCAATCCCAAGGATAATGGAGTTACAAACATTACTATTGCCACTGATACTCCTAACAGTTCTGTCGGCAGCGAAGCTGCTAATGTTGCCCATCATAATAAAGTCATGGCCATACCAATGGATAATGAGGCTGTTAATGTTCCGGGGGATAATTGTAACTTTTCCAAGGACAATGATCACGCAGAAAACGTTTCTCTTAAAGAAAACAATTTGTCTTCAGTGCAGAGTGATGATGCGTCTTTAAAGTTGTCGAACCAAGGGATAAAAGTCGATGGCGAAACTGAGCAAGGTTCTAGCTGACTTGGCGTTAATAAAATTGTACAAACTGAACGTTGGGTGGCAAAATACCGTGGAATTCACATACCTGATTTTGTTCTTAGATCATTCGCATGGCAACTTTTACTTGTTAGTCATACTGACTTGGATGCCGCCTTTTAGGACCTACCTACCTGCCTGTCTTAAGGCAGACCGTTTATAAACATTCCTTTTTTATGTCATTTGCGAGTAAGACGTGACTTTGAGTGGGAAAAGTGTCTTTAGCCTAGCGAACATGTCTTAAATCTTAAATGTCTCCTTCGCAGTTTTAACTGTGCGGCAATCACAGAATTTCATCAGATTATATTTATTTAATTTTACAGCATAAGATGGGTGGCTGATAAAATCATTCGTCTGACATAGTTCCTTCAAAAGGCGGATAGCGCCGTGAGGTAATGATTTATCCTCACAGCGTTCTCTGCCTTTAGAAAAACCAGGGCTTACTGGGAAGCTAATGAGATAAAGTAGTACTTGTTGTGCCCTAGTTTATGCGTAAATACGGTCCTTTTCTCAGTTTTTCTTTCCTTGATGAATATTTTTCCGCGCATAGCGCCGACGCTTCCGAGAGTCTGGGTTGCACGGGACGAAAACTGCTTTTTGTCTCGCTCAGAACCCCAAAGCCAGAACTTGCGATCCCATAAGTCCTGTCGGTCGCTGACCCAAGCAAACACATTTGCTGGCGGCCTTACTGGTTTTTATGCAAGAAAGGAAGTGTAAATTTGTTATAGTTGCTGCTGCTGTTACGGACTCGGGAGGATTTTAGAAGGTGTGTATGGTATTTTAGTTTTTATTGGACTGTTAGTTATTTTGTTTTAAAGGTATTTTAGAGCAAGTAGGCTATATTAAGAGTAGATCGAAGCCATTCACAGGAAGCGCGCGGTTCCAAGGAATTCTTCTCACAGTAAGCTTTAATGCTAATAGCTGTTTGTGAGCTTTCTCGTCAGCTTAATAACTTTCTTTATTAAGAATACTCTCGTTCGTTTTTAATACCTACTTACCACTTTTCTGGCGTCGTATAAGCTTACTTGTAAACCCTTGCAAGGCTAGGCTTAGTATGTCTAGTTTTTAATTTTCGTTTTGTCAACGTATAGCCCATGTCGGAGTTGAATACTGTTGAAAAGAAAAATGTATGCATACTAGAAAGACGTGTTCGCAGAACCTTGCAAAGCTCAGAGAAAGGGGCAATAGTTGGAAATTGCTAATGGGTAAAAAAGCCAAAAGGAAATGAAAGCGGAAAGACAAAGTTTAAAATTGTCTTGAGCACAATTCTTATGACCTACAGTCCCAGCGAAAACCAAAAGGTAGAGGTCTATTGTAGGTTTCGAGTGTTAGCTGCATATTTGCCTGTAGTTATCCGCCATCACACCCATTTCCTTTTCACATGTATGAGGGCAAACAAGATGAACATGGGACGCCAACTCCATTGAAATCCCAGAAAATCCTTTTTAACGTCAGAGCAGACTCCAATATTAGAGCCAGTGTTAAAACCTGTGCCCCCCCCCCTAACTGTACAATTTTCTCCAATTCTATTCCCCCACCCCCCGAAGTTTGCAAGGTTCTGTGATACACACATTTCTGGAAGGTTTTGAGTTCTATTGGGTGAGAAGACAAGTAGAAAATTATTAGTTATTTTAATGTGGCTTCTGTTCGTGCTTAAGGCTGGTTACGCACTAGAAGACGTACTGGAAGTGATCTAAAAGGCGCCCAGGTCGTTTATTGTAATTTAGGGGCCCAAGATGGGGGATTAGGAGGGGTTTAAATTCATAACTGTGACAAGCTTACCAAAACTTATAGGCTTTTAATGAAAATACCAGAAGGGAGTTTAAGGGAGAATAACCAGTCCACCATATGCCTAGTACCTCTAAGAGATCTTTACTTCTCTCAGTCAATCTCAATTCTGCTGTCATCTGTGTTGTTAGCCCATCCTTACTTTAAACTTGACATTGAACAAGATCCAATGTTTAAACCCTCTTTAATAATTAAGCAAGAAACTAAATTTTGCTCCTCTTAGCTATTTTACTATACAGTGGAAGTTTTCCCATCGGACACTCTCATGAGCGGAAAGCTCTACTTATGGCCACCTTCACAAAATGCGTTTTTCTCAACTCCCATACAAACTTTGTAATTTTAAATTCCTGTAAGTGGCCAGCAAGGGTGTCCTCGCGTCCCGAGGGTGTCTGCTTACAAGAGCTTCCACTGTATGTATATAGCATTGTTGAGACATTGTCAAGGGAGCATCTATTAGAAGACAATGTAATACTAACTTAACGTTGTAAAGGGGTGTGTTTATTTGGGAATGTTAGGTGGCTAGCTTTAGGGTGAAGGATTGTAAGCTTGAGGTTGATTGCCACAGAAACAAGTTGATATGAGTCATCGATGTCATGACATACATTTAAGATTCCCTGCCAGAGTTAATTCCGTTGCTGGAAAAGTAGCCACAGCTTATAAAGTGAAATTGCAACCATCCTTTCTGATAAAACATTTCTGATAGCAATGTGAATTATTAAGAAAAAGAGAAAATTGACACAAGCATCCCCCTATACCTGGCAGGCCCTCAATGCCTATTTTCACCTGTGGTGTTCCCTAAGATCAACTACACAGTGCCCTGATTATTTGTTCATAAATAAGTCACTACCAAACAAGTTATTACTGTCTTGCATAAGCAGATGAGGTAAGGCATGGGCTGATCAGATGCCAAAAATTTCACTATGGTATTTATTCAAATAAGCACTGGATACTTATTGTTTTTCAATGTGGGCTTATTTGAGCATGTAGAGGGCAGGACTTACATAGTTTTTTTCATAGTACATAATTTTTCTTTCTTTTTCATTATGGGCGCATTGACCTTTACTTTTATGAGCAGTGACAGTCGAAGGAGCATAAATATAGTTTCCAACCCTTTGAATGCCAACCCAAACATGCCCCAGCAGCCGGTGGCCATATTGGACTTTTTCGTGAACAAGAATTATATTTTTCACAAGTTAAGAACTTAAACATTTTATAACTTCTCTTTGCAGTAGAAATGTACTTGATATGCCATTAACTTGTGATGTAACTTCTTTAAAAATTTTGTGGCCAGCAGTTATTAACATCATTCCTTCTTACACCCTTTCAAACAGTCACGGACAAAATTGCTGTGCCACTGGAAAAATAAAAGCATACTAAGTAGAGGATGTATATATATGCCCTCTGTAGCAGGGACTTTTCTTGTTGGACTTACATGTATATATACATCCTTGGCATTCAAAGAGTTAAGGTCCATTTAGTGATATCAACATTAACAAACATTAAAAATTTTTGAAAATCAACAAGTGTTGGGAGGGTGCTGCATTTTTGTGGAGCTGGCACTTATTTATATTTATGCTTTGTAGATGCATTGCTTAATATTTACAATATTTTAAAATTTAAGTTTGGTGCTTATTTGATTAAATACCTTAGTGGTGCATAAGTTTAAATAACCCTACCGTTTAGTGAATGTGAGGCTTTCGATAGGCCATTTCCGAGTTCCAAAAACTCTCACTTTGAAAATAAGGCTAAGTTCAAAACCTTTTTTGTGTGAAAATGAGGAGGCTTTGGGAAACTCGGAAGTAGTCTATTATAAGACTTCACGCTATTATGGAAATCGTTTTAGGTTGAGCAAATGCTCTACCAGGTCCATTAGTTCAAATGTGGAATAGTACTATATGTATCCAAGATGTGATGACTCTATTCAGTGGACAATGCAGTTGGTTTTTCTGATTAACACATCCACTGGAAATAGCAATAGTACTGCCAACCAACTGTTGAACAGTAGAAAGCTTATGCGGTGACAATGGCAGTGAAAACATTGTTAAAAAAATTAATATGCGTCCTTTCTAACTTCATAGGGTCTATTTAGACTCACTCAATTTTTCAAATTTAGGCAACTTTTCCTGGAGTTGAATTCTTAAGGACTTTATCCAGGGTCTAAAAGAGGATTTAAACTTTTTTGTTGTATGTTACATGAGGCCCTGCCAGGGTAAATTCCGACAAGCGACATGGCCCAAAAAGTAGTGACAGCATGTAAACTGAAATTGTGGCAAGAGACAACCTCCATTGGCCAAATTGCGACAGTTATGGCAAAGCCAACAATAAGCGACAAGAATTTATAAACACCGACACGAGACGTTTTACAATTCAGACGGGCAACATGGACCCCCCCCCCCCCCCCCCCCCCCGGGGCCCTTCCCCCCCCCCAAAAACCCCCCCCCGGGGTTTTCCCCCCCCTTCACCTTATGGATGTCCAAAAAAGGGACTAAGAAAAACAATGGATTTGTGGGGGTGGTGTTTTTTTTTTTTGACACATCACAAAAGAAGGGAAAGAATGGAAAATGGAATTTGGGCAAGAGAAAACCTCCCTTGGCCAAATTGCGAAAAGTATGGGAAAGGCAACAATAAGGGACAAGAATTTAAAAACCCCGACCCGGGACGTTTTACAATTCAGGGGGGCAACATGGACCCCCCCCCCCCCCTTCCCTGGCAGGGTCTCTTACATCCTCCATAAATCAGCGCATTGGGTTTTCACCTCTCTGTCAGTTAGTGGATGTCAAAGAAGTGTACTAAGAAGCATGATGCATGTAGGGAGCTGTTGTTTTACTGTTAAAGCAAATTATTGTTTTATTATGTTGTCATTTTCATGGTTGTCATGGTTGCCTAAGCTGCCTAATATTGGGAACAGATTTTTTCACCAGATTATTTGACTTTAAAGCCAAGTCCTCTTCTGGCTAACATATCTTAACCTGACCAAAGAGAAGTTGCATGTATACAGTCAGTATTTTTGGTTAGGAAAAGTAACAAATAAATGTGAAAGACAGTCACCAGATAAATTTTAAAGAATTTAAAGTAAAACCACTGGGTGGTAATATTTAGCCAGAAAGCGGAGTTTCTGGTTATTACATGGATGTGTTTGTGATCATTTTCATATTATATTCCTTACTTCTTTCAAAATAAAGTTTTGAAATTGCAAC